AGAAATTAAGAATACAATCCCATTTACAATTACAAAAGAAAGAATAAAATACCTAGGAATAAACTTAATCAAAGAGGTGAAAGACCTGTACACTGAAAACTATAAAACATTGTTGAAAGAAATTGAAGATGATAAAAAGAAATGGAAAGATATTCCATGCTCTTAGATTGAAAAAATTAACATAGTTAAAATGTCCATACTTCCTAAAGCAATCTATGGATTCAATACAATCCCTATCAAAGTTCCAACAACATTTTTCACAGAAATAGAGCAAAGAATCGTAAAATGTATATGGAACAAATAGCCAAACGAATCCTGTGAAAAAAGAACAAAGCTGGAGGTATCACACTTCCTAATTTCAAAATATACTACAAAGCTATAGTAACCAAAACAGCATGGTACTGGCACAAAAACAGACACACAGATCAATGGAACAGAATCAAGAGCCCAGAAATAAACCCACACGTCTATAGACAGCTCATTTTTGACAAGGGAGCCCAGAACATACAATGGAGAAAGGAAAATCTCTTCAATAAATGGTGTTGGGAAAACTGGACAGCCACATTCAAAAGAATGAAAGTAGACCATTATCTTACACCATACACAAAAATTAGCTCAAAATGGGTTAAAGACTTGAATGTAAGACATGAAACTTCTGGAAGAAAACATAGGCAGTACGCTCTTTGACATGGGTCTAAGCAGCATATTTTCAAGCACCATGTCTTACTCTGCAAGGGAAACAATAGCAAAAATAAACAAATGGGACTATATCAAACTAAAAACCTTCTGCACAGCAAAGGAAATGATCAACAAAACGAAAAGACAACCTAACAATTGGGATAAGATATTTGCAAACCATATATCTGATAATGGATTTATATCCAAAATATATAAAGAACTCATACATCTCAACAACAAAAAAACTAACAACCCAATTAAAAAATGGGCAAAAGATCTGAATAGACATTTCTCAAAGAAGATATACAGATGGCCAACAGGAACATGAAAAGATGTTCAATATCATTAACTATCAGGGAAATGCAAATGAAAACTACAATGAAATATCATCTCACGCACATCAGAATGGCTATAATTAACAAAACAGGAAACAACAAGTGTTGGAGAGAATGGGGTGAGAAAGGAACTCTCATACACAGCTGGAGGGAGTGCAAACTGGTGTGGCCACTATGGAAAACAGTATGGAGATTCCTCAAAAAATTACGAATGGAACTACCATATGATCCAGTTGTTCCACTACTGGGCATTTATCCAAATAACATGAAAACACAAATGCGTAAAGATACATGCACCTCTGTGTTCACTGCAACATTATTCACAATAGCCAAGACTTGGAAGCAACCTAGGTGCCCATCAAGGGACAAATGGATAAAGAAGATGTGGTTTATATACACAACGGAATACTACTCAGCCATAAGAAGGGATGAAATCCAGCCACATGGATGGACCTTAAGGGTATTACGCTAAGTGAAATAAGTCAGAGGGAGAAAGTCAAATACTGTATGATCTCACTCATAAGTGGTAGATAAAACCAACAACAAATAAACACGTAGAGACAGAGATTGGATTGGTGCTTACCAGAGGGGAAGGTGGGTGTGAGGAGAGTGAAAGGGATGATTAGGCTCATGTGTGTGGTGATGGATTATAATTAGTCTTTGGATGGTGAACATGATGTAATCTATACAGAAATTGAAACATAATGATGTACACCTGAAATTTATATAATGTTGCAAACCAATGTTACCGCAAAAAAAAAAATGCAGTGAGGAGTTAGATAAATATGTGATAAAGCGACCTTTCAATAAAAGCAAGAGAATGATAAACATGACATTCAGGTGGTGGCCTCCTCCAGGGGAGGTGAGGAGTGACATCAGGGAGAAAGGCACAGGTAGCTTCAGCAGTGTTGGTAAATTCATAAGCTGGGTGGTGGCTTCACAGGTGTTCATGTGATTAGGATACTTCATAATCTATATTGCTTACATATTTTCTTATAGGTATCAAAGTGAACTAATTTAAAAATAAAGAATTTTAATAGTTTGTATAGTTTAAAGGCTTTGACTACCTATTGTTAAACTATCCTCAAGAAAAGTTTCTACCAACTGTGAGACCCACTGGGGAATAAAAAGCTGTTTTTCTTGAATATGTTTAAAGCTCACATATCTCGGAAAGATGATGATTACTCTTCAAAAAACAGACTTAGGAAAATTCACAGGAAATTTCTTAGTATATAGTAAAGTTATTTCTAAGAGCATCTGTACACACACCTACACATGTTGATTTTCTCCATTTCCAAAGATAACCCAGACTATGAATATTCATGTAGAAGACCAACGCATGTGAGAAGTCTTATCTGGGGATAAATGCCCTTATCCTGTGTCCAGGCAGAAGGAGTTTAGATAATCCACCCCTGTATTCTTTTTTTTTTTCCTGTGAGGAAGATCAGCCCCATGCCAATCCTCCTCATTTTGCTGAGGAAGACCTGCCCTGAGCTAACATCTATTGCCAATCCGTCTCCTTTTTTTTTTTTTCCCCTTTTTCTCCCCAAAGCCACAGTAGATAGTTGTATGTCACAGTTGCACATCCTTCTAGTTGCTGTATGTGGGATGCCGCCTCAGTACGGTCCGACAAGCTGTGCATTGGTGCATGCCCGGGATCTGAACCCGGGCCGCCAGTAGCGGAGTGCACGCACTTAACCACTAAACCACAGGGCCGGCCCCCGACCCCTGTATTCTTACAACCATCCATTTCTTTCTTTGTTTGTTTTTTTTTGCTGAAGAAGATTGACCCTGAGCTAACCTCTGTTGCCAATCTTCCTCTTTTTTGCTTGAGGAAGATTGTCCCTGAGCTAACATCTGTGCCCATCTTCCTCTATTTTGTATGTGGGATGCTGCCACAGCATGGCTTGATGAGCCGTGTGTAGGCCTGCTGCTAGGATCCGAACCTGTGAACCCTGGGCTGCCGTAGCGGAGCACACAAACTTACCCACTATGCCACCGGGCCAGCCCTTCAAGTATCCATTTATGAGTGGGATAAATGCAAGATAGATTACGATAAGATTATTAGAATCAGAGAAATAAATAATGATTTGTATAAGACTTTATGATTTAAATCTCTTCCCATATATTGTCTCATTTTATTTTTCAACAAAGTATCATTGTGCCCATTTGACAGAAGAGAAAGCCAAGGCGCTGCATGCTTAGAAAAATTCCTCAGGATCATATGGCTAATGAGGGGCAGAATGAGGACCTGGGATCTTCTGAAGTCATTTAGCTTTTGGGATTTTTTTTGTGAAGTCATTAAATTTTTGTGCATCTTTTCCCTATGTCAATAAGAGTTTCCAATAAGAAGACTTGCCGGTTATATAAGTGTGAAACACTGAAAACAAACTGAAATAATTTTCCTTATTCAAGGACTTCTTGGAGCCTTTTGTGAATCTCCATAAGGACTATTGGATGTGAAATATTTCCAAAGCAATTTGACCTCATAATCTGTTATTTATGAAGCATTTCCTGAGGCTTCTGCTCTACGGAAGACATTTGAGAATAGCTGATATGTGACATTCATTCCACCAAGACTCACAAGAATGTTATAGAATACCCACTGTGTGCCAGGCCTGGTACTAGGTGCTGGCAGACCAAAGATGCTACTATCTAGGTATCTCAGACCTTTCTGCCATGAAGGGGCCCTCCTCATCTTTCCATTAATTTGAATAATGTTCACATACTCGCCACTGTTAGGTGCTGCCTGTCATTGTCCCTCATGTTCACTGGCATCCTTCACCTATTCCCGGAGGTCCTTGTTGATATGCCCCCAATTTCTCTTTGATCTGCACACTCCCTGAAATATGCAACCAGGGCTGGGAAGTTGTTGGGACAGCCTGGGGTTAGTCACTGCTATGGACTGAATTGTGTTCCCTTCAAATTCATATATTGAAACCCGGGCCCCCAATGTGACTGTATCTGGAGAAAGACCTTCAAGGAGGTAATTAAGGTTAAATGAAGTCATACAGGTGGGGCCCTAATCCAATAGGATTGTGGCCTTCTAAAAAGGAGAGGTAAAGGTCTCCCTCTCTCTCTCTTTCTCTCTCTCTCTCTTTCTGCCTTGTGAGGACACAGTGAGAAAGTGGCCATCTGTGAGCCAGGAAGAGAGTCCTCACCAGAGCAGTACCATGCTGGCCTCCAACTTGCTCCACAGTCCCATACACAGATCTGACCATGACCCACCTCTTCAGTGGCCCTGCAGTGCTTTCAAGGTATAAAACACTTCACAGTCCAGCTTTCCAATCCACCTTCTCGGCCATCTCTGCCAACACTCCCCAGCCCCCACCCCACCGACCTCTCCAGCCCCTCCCATTCCCTCTAACGCCCATGACCTTTCCAATCCAACTCCTGGGCCTCCATGCGCTTGCTACTCAGGGCACCTGGAGGAACTTTTTTTTATATATCTACCCACCAGTTCTCCACCTGGCAAATTCTTCTTCCTTCAAGGCCCAAATCAAATGTCACTGCCTGTGGGAGCGTCATCCCAGACTCTCCTCAGCAGTTCATAGCTCCTCCTCTTTATATCCACAGGACTTTGTACATGTTTTTAATTAGACAGTTTCCGTTGAATGATAGCTAATTGTTAAAATATCTAATCTTTCTTTCCCATTTGATAGTGAGCCCCTAGGGGATAAATATCGTATAGTATTTGTCTTTGGATTGCCGGCATTCAGAAAAGTGCCTGGCACAAGGTCAGTCCTGAATAAATATTCATTAATGTACAAATACCGCCAAGGTCTCTCGTGCACTTAGGAACACACCGAGGAGCTGTTCAGTATAGCAGATTAAAAACTGACCTGGGAGGGAGGATGCTTGAATTCTAGTCAGGCTAGACCTCTAGGGGGGACATCTGAGTGCCCTTCCAGGGCTCACATCCCATGATGCAAAGAACTTGACAGCTCCTCCCTAAAAATACCTCTTTTTCTCCCCAGAAAGAACAGATGTAAGACGTCTTCTAGGGAGAGTCATGACACACAGCCAGGAGCCTCTAGCCAGGACCACCATCATCAAGGTCAAGGGCCAGGACTTTAACTTCTTGCAGGATCGTTGCCTCCGCAGAGGTCTGCTGTTTGAGGATGAGACTTTCCCTGCCAAGACATCTTCCATAGTTCTGCAGCTGCTCCAGGGACAAAACATCTCCAGCCTGCAGTGGAAGCAGCCAAAGGTGAGTGAGCCCCCTAGGAACACACCCAGCTCCTGGACCCTCTGAGCTGCCTGCCATGGTACCTCCCACTGAAAGACGGATGGGCCTGAGACCTGGTTTTCAGGGCTGCCCAAAGCAAACTGGAAGGAGAGTTAAATTCATCTGGTCCCTCGGCTACAGTGTTGTATACTCAGTGGGATGGAAAAACCCTATACCAGGAACCAGGACCCCTGGGTTCTAACCCAGTTCTGACAATGAACACATCACTAGATTACATGCCTTAGTATTCTCATCTGAAAAATGGGAAACCATGGGCATGAAGATTGTAGTAGCTGGTTTTCAGGGTCTCTTCCATCTCCATAATTGAGCCCATCTATCAGTCTTCATCACTCTTTATTCTCTTCAGGTATCAGTCTTTCTCTTCTTTTCTCTTTCCCTGTTAGAATTTACTCAAACAGAAGTTATCATGTCAGTCACTTATACAATAGGATGAATTTAAATAATTGCCTCACGTCTCTCATTTATATTTGTATTTTCAATCTTGTAAAGGCTTGATACCTACAGCAGAATTTCAGACATCAGCTGTAAAATTAGGGAGATATTACAGGACAACATTCATACCCCTCTGTCACCCCCACCCCAGGAGATGGCCGCTCACTCCACCTGCAGCAAGGTGAGACCTGTTGTTTTTTCCAGAACTATTTCAGTTTCAGAGCATGAAGCTCCAAGGGAAATTTCTCGGCACACTCAACATTCTCATAATCTCATCAGGACTACTGTTGATGCAAAGGACCCAGGTAAGGACCTTTTTGAGGGCCCTGATGCCCAAACCTCCTGTTCATGCTTCTAAAAGTAGCCAGCAGAACCTAGAACAAGAGAAAATAATACAATGTCTAGTGAGCTCATGATTACAATATGCGCAATTGTTACTGAGCACAGATTAAATGCTGAGCACTCTGCTGAGCACTTTCAATAAAGCCAGGTTAGGTTACACAGAAAATATGTTTTCTATGACATAGAACAAGACATAGAATTCTGGAGGGGCCAAGTCTTGTCCTAACTTCGGACAGATTTGTAGCCTTGGGGAAAGGGAGGATTAGTGGGGATCAGGTGGGGCTTGGAAGGCTGTTTAAAGAAAGATGGGGGTGCTTCAGCCTTCTAGGGTCCATCTTAGCAGCGAGAGACAAGTCCCCGACAATGACTCTCTTCTTCTGGCCTTCACCTCCTAAGGACAGCTGAACAGAGAACTCTATTTAAGATTTGGAAGGGTTATATTTTTTTCCCTTTGTTATTTTGAGAAGTTGAGATTCTTTTGGAAAGTGTTTGTTTCTTTTTTTCACAAGGTGCTGAGCAATAGATGTGAGACAATATTTATAGTGTTGAAGAATTTATAACATTTCGATTTAGAAAGGGTTGAGAGTTTCTTATTATCTTAATTCCAGTAACAACTCAACTTGTGATGTCTTTTGGGGTCACGGAGAAACTGAGGCAAACAGAAGGGAAATGACTTACACAGAGTCATGCCAGGAACCTGAAATGGAGACAGCCAGGAACAAGATAAGTTTTACTCCCCTTCCTCTTCTTACCCAAAAGCTTACCCAAACTCTACCAGGGGGTCACTTTTCATTCCAGCACTTCTTTTAAAATGTATATGTGGATATGTCATATTTCTTTGCTGGCCACACTTACATTTGCTTCTCTCTTTCCTCTCTCTCTCCTCTCGCTCCTTTCTCTACTCTCTCTCTCTCTCTCTCTCTCCCCTTCGCCTTTTGCCTACCTCTGTCTTCTTCTGGTCTTCCCTCCCTCTAACAATTAACCTAGTCCATTTGCTGCTGCAACTGTGTTTGAAGTAGGAGCTCCTTCTACTGCTTCATTCAGCTTTTCTTGGTTTAAACAATTTCTAAACCCCCCTCACCTCCCTACACTCCCCCCACCAGCAGGCAATCAGGTTCTGTTAAATTAAATTAAATAATTTTATTTTAAGTAGCCTGTACCTGTGCATGAAGCAAATAGCACTGTTGGGACCCAACTCCTCATCAGCCTCAAAGCTTCCTACAACCCCCAGTGTCAGCAAGAGACAATGCTGAGAATTACACTTATACATGGAGTATCTATGTGACATTTCTCTGAACTAAATTTGGTGCTTAGAGTGACTTTCTTCTAGAATTTTTATTTCATGGTTAATAATAATAAATTTTATCTATCAAGTGCGTACATGTGCTAGGTATTAATCTAAGCACTTTACATACAACATTTCATTTAATTACCATAACAGTCCTGTGAGGTAGATAATATCATTATCCTCACTCAATAGATCAGCACTGCCCAATAGAACTTTCTGTGATGTTGGAAATGTTCTTTCTGCACTGTTCAATACTGTAGCCTCTAGTCACATGCGACTATTGAGCGCTTGGAATGTGGCTAGTGTGACTGAGGGATTGAAGTTTTAATTTTATTTAATTTAAATTTATGTAGCCAATATGGCTTGTGGCTACCATATTGGAGAGCACAGAATTGTAGATATAGATCTTCACGGTGCGGTCACAAATCTGTCAGATTGAGGGATTGAAATTTCATCTTTGTCTCCATTCTAGTGAAAAACATTTCACTGCTCAACTGCAGAATGGGCTGTGAGCCCAAAGTATGTTGTCTGATGGGTGCTCGGCACCCAGCCCCACTGTGGATTCTGGCCTGTGGCCATCCCAGAATGAAGCATTGCCTGTTTAGGCAACAACTTGCATCTTCCAAGCAGCCAGAGCAGAGTTTCTGGAAGGATCATTCACTAGAAATGATTCACCTTGGGACCAAAAGGAGTTCTTCAGAAAAGGAAGGGGTTGACAAAGTGGGGATATGAGTGGAGGTTGTGAAGGCAAGAGGTAACAGAGGGTGACAGAAAGCGAACAAAAGCCAACAGCCAATTGCCATTGAACCAAAGATCTTTGATGCCAATAAAGCAAAGTTCTTGAGCAAAAATAGAAAAAGGGAGTGACACTGCCACCTGGGCCAGCCCGAACTCTGGCCACCCTCTGAAAGGGCCTGTGTCTGAGTGCTAAGACGCTAAACCTCATCCAAGAACAGTACACCATCTGGGGAAGTACATGAGCAGCCTTTGAAAAGAACGCAGGAATCACTGTTGGAAATACACAAAGTGATGTCTCATTGGAAGAGACACCTCCAGAGACAACTGCAGGAGAGTACTGGGTTTGGTACCACTTCAGAGAGGGTATTTCCTAAGATTCTAAGGACTTTTGCATTACACGAACTTCTGGCATGCCTAATATAACAAGAGATTGCCCCAAACTGCATTGAAAAAGGGCTCCACAATCCCAAACTAAGTTTCTAAGAGTACTTTGTTTGACTATGGCTGACGCCTTCTGTATTAGCCAGGGTTCTCTAGAGAAACAGAACCAACAGGATATATATATATATACTAGCAATATGTTTATGATGAGAGATTTATTACGAGGAATTGGCTCATGTGATCATGGAGGCTGAGAAGTCCCCAATCTCCTGTCTGCAAGCTGGAGACCCAGGAAAGCTGGTGGTTTAGTTCAGTCCAAGTGGGAAGGGCTGAGAACCAGGGGGTGCCGGTGGTGTAATTCCCAGTGAAAGGGCAGACCGATGTCCCAGCTCAGCAGTCAGGCAGAGAAGGGGGTATGCTCCCTTCCTCTATTCTGTATTCTCTATTCAGGCCCTCAGCAGATTCATGATGCTCATCCATATTGGGGAGGGCAATCTGCTTTACTGAGCCCACCAATTCAAATGCTAATCTCATCTGGAAACACTTTTACAGACACACTCAGAAATAATGTTGAGCCAAATATCTGGGCACCCCATGATCTATTCAAACTGACACATAAAGTTAACCACCACAGCTTCTTTCTGTACCGACGGATGTTTCAGAGCCCTCCAAGGGCCAGTCCATCTCACAGAATCAGAAAACACTGACGTCAAGAAGACTCTGCCTGCTGATGTGGTCCATGGGGAAGAGCTAGGCACTATGGAGCCAGATTGGCTAATTCACAGCCTGCTTCCTGGGGGACCTGGAACAAATCGCTCAACTGCCCAACCTGCGCCCTCACCCTGGCTGGGCCTCAGAATCTTCTGAGGAGCTCTGTAAATCCTGAGCTCTACCTCTGGCTGACCTACTAAAATCCAGCTGTGGGAGGCGGGACCCAGCAGTCTCCATGTCTGGAAAGCTCCCAGGTGACTCTGAGTCACACTCAGGGTGGTGGCTGCTCATTGCCTGGTGACAGGGGACCTGCCCAGAGCCAGAGCATTTCCATCTTCCCAGCCATCTGTACCTATTTCCTCTCTGGGCCTTGTCTCAGGAAGTCAGCCCAGCAGACTAGACTGCTTCTGGGTATAATCTCTGTCTCTTCCTACCTTTGCTCTATTTAGATCGTCCAGCACCCCTCTAAAGCCCAGGGTGGGGAAGGAACAGGCAGCGTAGAGGACAGGAGACTGTTGGTCTGGTTCTGTGCCCAATTTTGATGCAAACGATTCCACTGTTTTGCCCATAAACTTGATGTTGACTTGATTTTTGATTTGAAATGATTGCCATTTAATTTTCATAACATTAAAAAACCTTTCTGTTCCTAAATTAGCTAAAATTTTTGTTAATTCAATGTTTATTATTTTGGTAAATCAGAGAAAGTGGTATATTGGTCAAATGCTTTCATAGCATTTATTGGAAGGATATAAATTCTTTCTCCTTTGGTTCATGAAAATGCTATTTTATATTATTAAACGTCTTGACATGCAAAAATTCTGGTATTCTGCTTGTCGATGGCAAACCTTACTTGATGATGGCGGGTTAGTCTTATGATTTATTATTGATTCATTTGCTGAGTATTTTACTTAGGTATATTTCCATAAGTGAAATCAGTCTGGTGTGTGTGTGTGTGTGTGTGTGTGTGTGTGTGTGTGTGTGTGTGTTTTCTCTCAGGTTGGCCATCCAGGCTATGCTGGCTTCTCAAAATAAATGGTGGCAGGGTTCTTCTTCTTTCTTTCTGTTTTTTTTTTTTGTTAAACTCCGAAACTGTAAGTGATACAAGAATTGTGTGTTCCCTGAAAGTCTAAGAAAACACAGCAGGAAAATTGTGTGTACTTAGAAGCCTTTACAGAAATATTAGGGAGATGGTCTTTGATCATTTTAAAATACTATTCCAAGGTTATTAATCTTCTCAGGTTATTTACTAACTTGAATCATTTTGGGCCATGTTAATTTTTGTCAGAAAATCATCAGTATTTTTAAAGTGATTAGTATAGAATTTTACATCATGTTTTTATATTGCTAAAATCTCATTTCTCTTTCTAATTTTATGTGGCTTTCTCTACCATATTTGCCAGAGGTTGGGTCTATGTAAACCTTCGCCCCCAAATAGAACAATCAATTTGCTTTATTGATTTTTCTGTTTTTCTAATTTATAATTCACTGATTGTTCTCTTTATCACTTCCTTCCACCCATGCTTGTGAGGCTCTTTTTGTCTTTTTCTCTCTAACATCTATGAGTTGATTGCCTAATTCACGTTTTTATTCTACCTTGTTTAATAATGAATGCATTGAGGCTCTGGGTTTGTCTATGATATGGCCTTTTTAATTTTGCAATTATTCCAGAAGAAAGGAATCAATATTTATTGAACAAGTACTGTGCCTGACACTGCACTAAGTATTTCACATCCTTCCTCATTTGTAAAATGGAAAGACTCCTGCCATGCAAGGCTGTTGGGAGACCTCCGTGAATACGGCACCTGGCCCTCAGCAAGGGTTTGAAAGGGCAGCCGGCGCCTTGATTGCTTTCTCATTTGATTCTCCCACCTGCCCTCCAGTTTGTATTAATCTTCCCATTTTACACATGAGGCAACTGAGGCTCAGCAAAGGACAGGAAGTTGCTCCAGGTCATCTGGGGGAAACGCAGAGCGCAGGGCTGGACTCCATACCAGGTCCGTCTGAACCAACTCGGGAGCACGTCCACCCCTCCTCTGAGGATCACTGGAGCAAAACCAGGAGAAAAGAGCAAAGAAGAGCTGAGGCTGCTGGGGGGCGCAGAAAGCTGAGCACAGTTGTCTTTGTCCCAGTCCAAATACCCGATGGCCTCCAGCCTCTAATTCCTGGGAGTGGAGGAACATGAGCATCTGCCCACTGACAGCAGGCTTCCTTTGAGACCTTTACTTCCTTCTTCCATTAGAAGGGAGGGGACAGTGACAGCCGTTGAAACGCCCCCAAGTTGTTTAGAAACTGAGAGAGTTGCTCCCTCCATGGCCCTGCTCACCACAGCGGCCCCTCGGAGAGGGCTGCCCTGCTTGCTTGTGTTGGGAGAGACCCCCAGGTTCTGCCCAGCGTGGGTACAGCAGAGGGTCAGGTTGGGACCACCCCAGGGTCCCCCTCACCCCGGGAGGGCCTGGGCCTGAGTGTGCCTCTCCTGGCCATCTGAAAGGGCCAGTTATTTGCAGGGAAGGCAGTGGGAGGAGGTGAGGTGAGGTGATGACCCGCGCACACGAGCTGACACACGCGTTCCCACACCTTTGTTTGCTCCTTGGCGGCTCCACCAGGAAACTGGCAGTTTATGAAGGTCTCACAAGGCACGGCGCTCCATCCATTCACGGCTGCTGAGCAAACGAACCCATTCCCACTTTGCAGCCCTGCTCTCTGGGGACTTAATTGTCAATGTGAGAAGAAACGAAACAGGAACAATTACCAAATTATGCAAATATATACCATGGAAATCCAGGAAGAGCCGCACAGAGAGGACGCTGAGGATAATCCTATGGGCTCCTAGGAGGGGGCAAATCCAAAGGGCTGGTGGGGCTGGGGCAGGAGCCACATCTTTGGCCCGGTGTTCCCCCAAAGTGCCTGGGGAGCTGCTCCAGGACCTGGCACAATCCTCAGGTCTGCTGAGAGTTCCCACAATTCTCCCTAGGGAATTGCAGCCCTGCAGAATCCTCTAGCAAGCCCCTCTCTGTGGCTGGCAGGCACGATGTGTGTTGGAGGTTGGGGAAGGACTAGGTGCTGAATAACAGCACCTGAGACAAGCCTGGGGTCTTCCAGAGTCAGTCTGTGAGTTAGCCAGGGAGTGGGCAAATATCTGAGTAATACGCATCCCGTATCCTGTGCATCATGTGACTGGACTTGAACCTGGAGCCCAGAATGCCTAACGCTGACTTCTAAGAGATGACATTTCACAAAGAAAGAGTTATTATGTTTATAAAAGCTTCTTCCTAATAAATGTATCCTATTCTTCTTTTTTTTTGGTTGTCTATAACCTCTTAATAAAACACTGCTTGTTGGGATCGGGATGGCTGACTATTTGATGCAAGGATCCTGAGTCCTTATTTACGTTCTCTCTGCATGCAGTTTGCTTAGGCATTTATTGCCTGTCTTGTCAGTTACATTTACACCCCTGTGACATCTGCCTTCGTGATAGCAATAAAACCTGAAGAATGAGGGGAACTTTCCTAACTCAGATTTTAAGCACCTATTTAAGAATTAACCTCTACTCCTCAAAGACAAAATGAGTGATGTCCTGGGTACCACACTGGGACACAGAGGAATGAAAGATGCTCATAGCTTTTCTCCCTCTTTTCTAAGGATTTATCAAAGGGTAAGTCAGAGCCTCACTTTACCCTGGAAGGTGCGAGCAGATCTGACATCCAACAAGGACAGGCACGTAAGAATTCACCCCTCCCGGCCCCAGATCGGGGCAGGCTGCCCGAGTCAGCTTCAGGTAGGGAGGGGTGGAGGGTGGTGTCCACCCAGACCCACGGAGTTCTGCCCCAGCTCCTGAGGAGGCAAGGCCGGCACCCTCGGTGCTGCTGTGGAAGGACTGTTCACGCCCAGTCCTGCAACCTGCAAGTCAGCTCAGCAATAGGTGTGCAGAGCCATGTGCGGTAAGGAATTATTGAAAAAAGGGAAAAAATGGACACAGGGTTTAATCTGAGCGCTGAGCAGAGAGAAGCATCAGCTGCTGGAAGATGGGAAGGAAGGAGGGACCGAGAAAAGGGAAGCAAACATTTATTGAGCTTCTGCAATGGCTGTGCCAGATATTTTGCGTGTGCTATTACTTCATTTATGTCTCACAACATCTCCATTCTGTGAAAACAAAGGAAAATGAAGGGTCTAAGAGGTAAAATAACTTCCTTAATGTCACATAAGCAATAAGTGACAGAGTTGGATTTGAATCCAGGGCTGTTAGACTCCTTCCCACCTGCCAGACAGCCCGGGACAGAGTTGTTGCTAAGAGTTGACCAGTGTGGACAGGGAAGTGGAGGCCTGCCTTGAAGGAGGCCCCTGGGTGGTATCAGGTATGCTCCAGCAAAACCCCTGAGCAAGGGTTATGTGGGACTGGCTTGGAGGAGAAAGCAGACAGAGAGTTGGGAGACATGGCCAAGTAAGACAGCAATTCTTCTGAGAACAGACTCCACGTCTTTAAAATGTCAGCTTACAAAGATGCCTGCACTTGGACTTTGCCTGGTGGAACCATGGTGTCTTAGCACCAAGTTGATAGAAGCCTACCTGGCTTGTTCTCAGTGTTGGGGAAAACCCCCACAGGCCAATAATCCTCCTATGAGGGTCCACCTAACTGGAGGAAGGACCTCTCCAAGGGTGTCTTTTTGGCTTCACCCAGCACAGTGTCTGACACAAAATGGCATTCAAATAATTGATTGTGTTGAAGGTGAAGTGGGGAAGACTCAGGAGAAGGGGATGAGCACGCTCAAAAGGGCTCACAATAATGTCCAAGGAGAAACTCAAGGCAACGTGTCCCTCAAAGGGGAGGAGGAGAGAACCCCTGTGTGGGCTAGAGAAGCCCTGACATGGGTAATGAGGCTGAGCAAATATTAGCAAAGAAAAACATAGTTGGTTGTTCCAGTTGTAGAGAGCACCCTTGCACTCGTGCTGGCAACAAAATTCACTGTCACTTTAGCTCTGGGCACCCCTGGCAAAATGAGAATCAAAAGGCAAGTTGATCTACCAGCTCTGCCCAAGCCTGGCTGGGCTCTCTGACCTCCCTCACCACCACCATCACCACCCCGATTACCACCCTCATCACCCCATCTCCACCACCATCCCCACCCTCACCCTCATCATCGCCTTCATCACACCCACCACCACCACCATCACCATCACCATGACAGCCAGCTCCGTCTCTATCTTGCTTGGAACTGGCCCCAGTGAGTCCTTCACCCAGTTCTCTCGGACAGAAAAAAAAAATGCATTATTCAGAAGAAAGTATACAGACCCTGGTGACAAAGACCTGTGAAATGCATGGGGTAGGGCTTCCAGGTTTGTCCAAGAATCCTCCTGTCGCTTATCTACCCTCACAGAAGATTGCTGGTTCCTGGCAGTGCTGGGCTCCTTGACAGAACCCACAGCATCTGCAGAAGATCCTGATGGACCAAACCTTTTCATACCAGTATGCAGGAATTTTCCGTTTCCTAGTACATGCACCGCTGGGACAACCTTTATGTGGGGTTCTCTGTGAGCACAGGGAGGCAAGTGTCTTGAGTATTCTCGTGGCCTGGCAGCCTGAGATGAAAGAGTCAGTTACGTTTTAGTTTCTCTGAGTACCTCCAAAAAAGGATTTGAGCTCACAATCTGACAACACGTAGGAAAGATGAGAGTTCAAATGTTTTCATGTAAATAAAAAGAAACGGCAGAAAAACAATTAGCAAAAAAAAGTCATTGATCAAGAACCCTGCTCATCACCGAGCTTTTGTCAGCGTCTGTCCCTGTGCCATATCTTGCTATTTTGATTACAGTAGCTTTAGAGTAAGTTACAACATCTGGTAGGACGAGTTCTCCTTTATTATTCATTACTCTTTCCTCAAAAATATCTTGGTAATTTTTGCACATTTATTCTTCCACGAGAACTTTAAAATCATTGTGTCAAGTAAAAAGAAAAGCCAGTGTGATGCAGAGTGGAGCAGCATTAAATTCATGTATTAATTTGGAAAAGTTACATTTTTATTATTTAAATTATTCCTTTCCAGAAACATGGTATATCTTTCCATTTATTCAGAACTAGTTTATTCAGAACAATAAAATGTTGTAGTTATGTTTTCAGAGTGGTGCTATCCCCTCAAATGTTTTGCAGTTTTGTAGCTAATGTGAATGAGATTTTTCCCCTCATTCCTAAGTAGATATTGCTGAAAAGAGGAAAACTACTCCTTACTATATATTAAAATTTATCTAGCCACCTTACCAAATTTCTTTACTAGTTCTAATTTTTTTCTTTAGTACAGTCTGGATTTTTTTAGTTATCTAATATTACCTGCAAATAAAGATAATTTTGTCTCTTCTTTTACTATTTATAGAACTCTTTTGCTCTATTGCCTTGTCGCATTATTTAGAACATCACAATTTTGAAAAATCCTGCCTTCTCATGATTTTAGTAATGTTGTTTCTTGGTCTGCTGTTCTTGTAATACACTGTTGGATTCAATTTGCTAAAAATTCTATTAGAATTTTTGCATCTATATCATATGTAGAATTGATATCTAGTTGTTTATGTTAATTTTATCACATTTAAGTTATGCTAGCTTTTTAAAATGAACCCACTGAGTTTTACATACTTTGATCTGAAATAATTTGAATAATGGTTGTTAATCATTGATTATCTGATCTTTGAAAGTAACGTAGACAATAGCTAATCATATGGATCTACTTCCTTTTTAAATGTGATTTCTTTAACTCTTCCAATGTGTTCAATAGCTATTCATCTGCTTGGGTCTCTTATTTCTTCTGGAGTTAATTCTTGAAATTCATATTTTGCCAGGAAAACCAACTATTTCTTCTATAGTTCCAAATTTATTGCCCAAAAGTTGCTTATATTATTTTCTGAAAATTCATTTAATTTCTTCTAATCGGTGGTTAAATCTACTTTATCAATTCCTGTGCTATATATTCATTTTTCCTTTCTTTTCTTAATCCAGCTTTTCTTAATCCAACCAATCTGTTGTATTGGTTTTTGAATGAATCAACTTTTAATTTTCATTATTCATTCTATTCGTTTTCTTTTGGGGTTTTGTTTTCTATATAATTAATTTCAATTTATTTTTATTAATGCCCATTTACTTTCTCTTGGTTAATTTTATTGTTTTCTGAACCAGTCATTTAATATTGTTAGTCTTTTTTTAATGAAAAAACTTTTAAGACTAAATTTTCCTCTGAGATCTTATCTGTATCTATAGATCTTGATATAAGATGTCTTACTTTTATTAATTTTAAGATAATATGTTTTTAGTTTTGATTAAGCTTTACAGGGGGAAATCTTTTGGTTGTAGAGTTTTAGATTTATTAAATTATGGTCAGAGACTATAATTCATAAAATCTCTACGTTTTAGGAAATTATTAAAGTTTCATTTATGGCCAACAAGACACGTTTTGTAGATGTTTCATGGACATGTGAGAAAAATATATATTACCCAATGGTCATGAGTTTTATACATGGAATCAAGCATCTGATTTGCTGATTGTATTATCTGCAATTATCTCTCTTATCTTGGCTTAGTTTTTGTCTGCTTGATTTGACAAATTCTAAAAGAGATGAATTGAAATTCTTCCCCAAAGCTATAGTCTGGAGGGTTCCTCTTATGTTTTCAGATGTTCTGACTTTACACTTTTCCTGCTATATTCTTTGGTGGCCAAAGTTTTATGTTCTTGCTATCTGATTGTTGGAATAAAGCTGACATAATAGTCCTCTTTGTTGTATTTAATGCTCTGGGCCTTGAATTTCTCTTTATCTGATGTTCCTAATGCCACTCCAGCCTCCTATGATTTACACTTCCCTGTTACATCTTTGCTCATCCCTTCATTATCAATTTCATTTTCACTATGTTATATGTTTCTTGTACAAAGCATATTTAAAACTCATTGCTCACCATTGTTTCTTTCACCCTTCATTTCCTCCTAAGATTTTTGTTCTAATTTCTTGCTCATTAGGTAGGAGTAGTTCCTTAAATAGTTTCCTCAGATTACACAAGTATTTTTCATTTGCTCTTACTTAAGAACAATATTTCGGTTGAATTTAGGACTCTTGGATCATATTCTCTTTCCTCAAGAGTCTGTAAACATTATTCCATTCTCTTATAGCTTCTGATCTTGCGGAGGAAAAATCCAGTGCTAATATTTGCTCTGGACTTCATAGGCAACATGTTCTTTCAAACTGCAAGTTTATAAGAGGCTCACTCTCCTTGGTGTTCACAAATTTCTCTGGAATATGTTTAGATATGTGCCTTTTTAAAATTAATCTTGTCTGGAATTCAGTGAGCCCTTTCAGTCTGAAGACCTGTCTCCTTTTTCTGCTCAGCTAAGTTTCCCTCCATTATTTCTGGGTGTTCTCCTTTATCCTGTTCTCTCTTCCTGAAGTTCAACTATTTGCATACCAGGTCTTCTTACAAGCACCCAGGTGATGCTGATGTTGCTGGTCCAAGGATCACACTGAGGAGTAAGCTAGAGGATGTAGGGTTCAGCCGTATCTGGGCTCGCCCCAGACCTGCAAGTGTTGGTAGTGACAACCCAAGGCCCAGGCAGGACACTCTCTGCCCTTCTGGGTGGTAAAGAAAATCCCATAGTTCCCCAGAAATAGCTGCAGTGCCGACCTCTGTACATCTCTTCTCATCACTCTGAGCTTGGGCACTGCTCCCTGGAAAGGGGCCAATGCCTGGACAATTTGGGTGCTTTTCCCAAATACTTATGGTTACCCTCAGACACTTGGATGTTGGCAAAATGGCACCAGCATGCTTCTTGGAGGGTGCAGACATTATCCAGATGCCAGTCCTCCTCACCCAGAGAGGAGAACCAGCAAATGCAGGTCAGTGGCCTCATTCTTGACCACCAGTCAGGCCATTTGCATCCTCTCTGGGAATGATGATCTTATCTGATGTTGCCTTTGTACAGGGAGAGAAGTTTGGTCAGCATTACTGGTGTGGGGAGATGGGAGTGAGGGTGACTTCTAAGGGGGAACTAACCAGGTTGGTTCAAGCCAGGACTCACTCATTCGTGATGGTGGCTGTGTGCCAGGCACTATCCTAGGTGCTGAACAAAAAGGCTATTGAAAAACAGTTTCTACTTAGCAAACTGTGATCTCACTTTCACAGTCTCATCTGATCCCAGTCACAGCACCATGAGGCAGTTCTTACTCCTACCACCATACGACAGATGAGGAAACTGAGTCACAGAGAATTAAGTGTCTTACCCAGTGTCTGTTGCTCAGGTAACTAAAGGCAAAACCAGGAATCAAGCATAGTTCCACTCACTGGACAGTCTACTGAACTCTGCTGTCCAATTAAATCCCAAATCTGGATCGGGCTGCCCTGCCAGTACCCCCCATCTAGGAGCTGGATTAGCGTTCCTTGATGCTTCAGATGCATTTCATGATCTCCCTCTAATAACATCCCGTTGGCTCTTGACCTCACCCACCTATGCATCTTACTACAATAGGGACACCCACGTCCACAGCTGTGCCGAACCAGCTGCAGTGCACTGGTCCATTAATGACCGTGGAAACATCTTCTTTGCTTTGTCTCTAGTGACGTCTCTGTCTTGGTCTCCATCTCGGCTTTGAAAGTGCATCCTCAGCTAAATGCAACAGCCCAACATCTGCGACATCCAGCTGTGAAAAAGTCCATGCGGATGGCTTCCTGTCACTGCTGAGCAGATGATAGATTGCACCTACCCAGCTTTACTCTGAGCCCACCTGTCGGAGACTTGCCTTCATCAAGGCTCAGGACTGAAGCCTGAAGCCCTGCTGCTTATCCAGCACAGGGGAGACCAGGGAAGAAACTCCAAAAGGCTGGCTTTGTTATGAATTTTCGTCATTTGGCGATGTCCCCGGGTGAACCATTAAGAGTTGAATGCTGAAGATTAAAGCAGTCTGTTTTGGAGAGGAACATCTGGTTCATTTGTGCTCTTAGCAGTAGCAGCGCCAGCCAGTTTCATTTCTGCTGTTCTGATGGCAGGGCCAGCTTGACTTGAAGAGAGGAGGGCCAGAGGGAGGCTGTAAGTGCTCAGTCCTCCTGAGCAATCCTCATCATTCGGCCTCCAGGCCTTTGCCCACACTGTCCCTGCCATCTGGGATGCCTTCCCTGTCTCCTCTCCACCTGCTTCCTGCCTCAAGCCATCAGCACCCAGTAGGCTCTCCTTCCCCCATTACAACACTCTGTGTCTACCATTCTCCTTTGTTATTCAGCAGCTGCTCCCCCTACTGCCATTCTGTGCACAAGATGTACCTGGAGAGCCTCATGTTTGGAGCTCACAAAGGACTTGCCAAAGCAAGGCCAGAGTTAGAAACAAAGTCAAACTAGAATCCAAGTCTCCTTCCTCTCTGCTTGTATTTTCCTTGACTAACTGGATCTGTGACTCATTTTCTCCAACTGCCAGTGGAGATGACATGCCCGTCCCTTGTCCATCCAACATAGGCTGAGATTTTGTTCCGAATAGAGTTCATTTTTGCATTGTGGGGGTCATGTGGTGACGGTGGTGATTTTTTGGTGTGGGTCGGGGGTCCAGGAGCTCCTTCCTACCCCAACTCTACTAAGGCATATATTCCCCATTTCTTCCAGTTCTAGCAGTGTGGCCAGTGGGTGGAAGCAGTGGTGATGATCGCCTGCCTGTCCTGAACAAGGATTACCTCTTTGTGCATCCTCGGGACAACCAAGAGTTTTGGCCCCGCCTGCTGGAGAAAGCCTACGCCAAGTAAGGATGGGCCCATCCCTCAGCCCAGGGCCTCAGTGCTGGCCCTGCCCGCCCAGGCACTTGCCCTGTCAGATGCTCCCCGCCAGCTGGCCCTGGGACTTTTGGCAGCTCTGCTGAATGCAAGCGATGTCCCGGGAACATCAAAGCCTTTGCCACCCAGCTTGACATCCTCCCTAAGGAATCACTGTGTGCAAGGCTGTGACACCATCAGGAGGGACCCAGAGGTACATAACAAGGGGTGGGCAGGGCAGGGCTGAACAAAGAGGCACTGACAAGGATATTATTGCAAGGGCTGATATAAGGGCTGAAATAAAATATATCATGGTCAAAATCTGATGAGAGGACAAAGGAGAGAGGAAACAATCTTGACTTTCTGACTCACAGGGTCAGGCTGTCAGAGGAGGTGGCATTGAGTGGGGCCTTGAACGATGGGTAGAATTTCAAAAATGGGAATGATTCGAGCAAAGACCTAGAGGTGGGACAGTTCCAAGTGAGGTTGGGTCAGTTGGGGGCCTGGTGTGGCTGCTGTGAGATTGCACTCATGTGTAGGGTCAGGGCAGGAGTTGCTTGTTATTATGTGGTCCAAACACCATGATTCAGGGGCTACCTTCTGGTGTTGACAAGCTCAAGGACTTATCAACACCCCAATTCACATGTTTTACTTAGATTCTTGGGCTGCTTTCATTCAACAGATGTTTATTGAGCATTTAACCATAGGCCAGGCCCTGTGTTTGGCACGGGGATAGAGACTCAGACTGGCTCAAGTGGCTGTGTGCAAGAGTACGTGTGTGTGTGATCACTGTCGCAAAGACCCACGCAGGTGAGGGACACATCAGAGGTAGAAATCAACGCTAGGAGACGAAAGAACAGAGGACCACATTTTCAGGAGAAAATATGTAGCAGAGAGCGTCACTGAATTAGGTTCCCCAAAGATCATCCTAACCAACCATCATCTTAAAAATGGGGAAGCCAAGTGATATAATGGCAGGTGGAAGTAGGCAGCCTGAATCTGCTGACTCTTCGGTCATCTGACCAGGGGGAGGACATCTAGCACGGCTGAAGACCCTGCCCAGTCCAGTCCTGGGCCCTGAGGAGTGGTAACAACCCTCAGTCTACCCCAGTCCCTGTCCTTCTGGAGGTCACAGTCTGAACAGTGAGATAGCTCAAGACCTCTTTTTTTGCATTCTTTCTTCTGAGCCCACTTGTGAAAAACTAAAGCTATTGCTCATTTCCAGTGTCAGGGGGAGCTGCTCATTAGCATTTGAGAATGAAGCCCAGATAACAGCCAAGGTTGTTGAACCAATCCATATATTTGGGGAGGTTAATTCACTTCTAAGCTACTTACGCAGACACTGCCATTATCTTTCCAGTATGGATTCAGCCCTCACCACTTCAGGGCGTCGTTTCTGCCTTACGTAAAGGGGGAGCGTGGCAGTTCACTTGGAGAATTAGAAAGCTTGTGGACTGAAATGATGACTTTGACCCCATTTTGTTAACAGCTGACCTAAGGCAATCACTCAGCTTGAAAATAAATAGGAAAGTGGTCCCGGAATCCACATTCTACCGCCTAAAGAAATCTAGCAGAGGATAAAATGTTTCAAACTATTAAGCCATTTAAAAGCTTTTCCCTCCATCCAAAGAAGGAAGTTATAGAATGCAGGAAGGAATCAAATAGAATTATAGCATATCAGAGCTGGAAGAGACCTCTGTCAGCATCTTTTTTGAAAGATAAGCCAGCTGAGGCTCAGAGAGGTGAAACGACTTGCCCAAGGTCACACTGGGTTTGAGGCCAAGTTGGGGTGAGGACTAGTCTCCCTAGTCACATGGGTTTCCATCATCTCTTGACACTGTTAGTCCTATAGGAAAAAGATTTGTCTTTTTGCTTCTTTGGAACCCAGTGTCTGGTACACAGGGACTACAGCACAAGAATGGAGATCTCATCCATCCAGATGGAGATGGCTCTCTTTCCCCCGCAAAGGGGTAGGCAATACCTAGTGAACGTGTGGACTCCAAACTTGCAACTATCCTTGCGGCTGGAGAGTCTGGAAACGAATTGGTCAAGGCAGTCGTGGTGGAGGGGAGAAATCTCTTTTTGTAGATTTTTTCGCCCAGAGGTCATTCGATAGAGAGGAGACTGGGGGACAAGGTCTGGTCCCCCGTGGTCTGTCTCATTCTTTATAGAATCTCTGCAGTTAAAAATTGCAGCATTTCAGCATAGTTTCTGGCTCTGATTTAGACGTCTCAATTCTTCCCTCTTTCATGTCATTGCTGGGGAGATAGACATTTCCCCAAAATAAGGCTGAAGCAGAGGAATGAGAACAAGGCTCTCTGAGAACTCCTGGGTTCAGGTGACAAGGCGTAGTGACAGGTGTGGTGAACACAGTGCTCTCTATCTTTCCTTCCCTTTCTATCTCCTGTCAGCAAAGAGGGCTAAGAATAGTTGCCATGTTCCTGAAGCATCAGCGGGATTCGTGAGCTCATGTTTATAAAGCAGAGAGATAGCTCCTTGTCAAAACACCCAGCTGCTACTGGACAAGTTTTGTGGGCATTGCGGAGAGACAATGAGAGAAACTGCAGAAGATGCAGAGAAAGGGGGCTGCTGGCCGCGGGGCCTTCCTGCATTGGGTATCACTGTGGTGACTGCAGAATGGGGTGGGTGCAAGACATCAGACGGGGCCCATGTGTCCTGAGGCAGCAGGCCTGAAGAGATGGGACAGAGCCCCACAGCTGCTTTTCTGGAGTGACTCTAGTGCAGCCCTATTGAAGTCAGGGAAGACCCCAGAGTGAATGACCAGGAAGAAGCAGTGTGGAGATCACTCTGGCAGGCTCTGGAATAGGTTCTAGGACCCCAGTCTTTGTGAACTTCCAGCACCCTCAGCAAAGCCCTCTTAATTTAGGATCAGGGGCCAGAATAATACATGTGGGAAATCAAGAGAGTCAGGCATTCAGACCCAAGTGGGCATAATCCTGATCAGAGGCAGGCTTTGCAGTGGACTAAGCAAACACGCCAGAGATAAGAGTCTAGTACCAGGCCTCACCCTGGGTCAGAGAGAGGCAGAAACGGAAAGATAAGATTCAGAACCGGTTATAGAACAAGTTGAGATCAATCTGTCACATGGTAGTTTCTGCAGAATGTCCCTCTTGTTCTGTGTATCTTTAGCTTCCTTTGATAAAAGACTTTCTATGCCATCCATGGCATTTGTGCCTGGGGCAGAGTCCTGCTTAGAGTGGCTGCTTGTTGTGTATTTGCTAACGTGAATTTACGCGAATTCTGGGTGATCCCCAGGAGGAGAGAATGACAGAGGTGGAAACATGGTGAGAAAGGAGTGTCTGAGGGGCCCCCAGAGCCGATCCACTCAACCTCACTGTTTCCAGGTTTAAGGCTGAGGACCGGGAGGGGAAGAGTCTTGTCAAAGTCACAGACCCCGTGAGAGGCAGCAGTATGCATGGAATCAGGCCCCTGACCCTTGCATGGTTTTGTTTTACCAGAAAGAACACCATGGCAGGAGCTTTCTGCTGCCACCAGCCTGTGAAGTGTTTGACCTCTGCTTGCCCATCAGGGACGAGGGTGCTCAGGTCCCTGATGAGAAACCCAAGTGACAGGGGTAGTCGCACTGGACAACTTTGACACCAGGAAGCAGCCCCAGGGCCTCTTGCCCAGCCTGGCCTCAGCTCCATGTCTTTGTGGATTTGCCCTGCCTATATTTTGGGATTCCATGGGAACCTTTCCAGCTCACCCCCTGGCTAGGCACTTGAGTTCTCAAAACAGATCTGACCTCTTCTGGGCCCTGCTGCAGTGGTTCTCCTTGTGACTGATCAATCCACCCTCTCCCCCGGCAGCACCAGTCAGCCCCTCCTGGGCCCCACTCCACCACGCTCCTCCAGCTCCAGGAGCCTCCTCGATTTGATTCTTCCTCCCTGGAGTGCTCGTCCCAATGTCCTCACCTGGATAAAACTCAACTCAGAGGTGTACCCCTCCCAGAAGCCTTCTCTAGACCCCCCAGGCTGGGCTCAGGCACTTCCTCTCTGTTCCAAGGTGACCCACATGCTCTCATAGTAAATAGACACACAAGGAAGGCAACGAAACTTGACGCGTCACTCTAAGGAGAGAGTGTCCCCTTAGAGTGGCCGAGCGCTATGGAAAAGGGGGAGACAAGTTTGGAGGTAGAAGCAGGAGAATGCACACTTGCTGTGCCTGATGATGACAGCAACAAACACACCCTCTGTGAGCCAGACACTTTTCTATATGCTGTATACGCATTAACTGGCAGAACCATCACAACACCGTCTGAGGCAGGTGCTGTTACATGCCCATTCCCCAGATGAGCAAAGGGAGCCTTAGAAAAACTCAGCCTCCTGCCCAAGAATTGACAGCTCATGAGAAGGGGAGCTAGGAGTTGGACCACAGCAGTTTGGCTCTTGAATCTGGAGTCTGTCAGCCTCACTAGTACGCAGCTGGGCTGCTAAGACTTGGGGAAAAATTGGGAGGAAGGCAAGATAGGGGCAATAAGGCCAGGCATTTCTCCGGGTGCAGGTGCAGAAGCAGAAACCCCATGGGAGGATGGGCAGAGGTGCTTTGGAGAACAGCTAGGAGGGTTTTAAGTGGTTTGCTTTGGAATGCCTTATATAAGACTTGTCCTCACCTATGTTACCTTCAGTAAAGTCAACTTATCTCCCTGATGATTCTAGGGCAAGTGGGTGAGTGCTGAGAATAGGAATGGGAATTCTGGATCAAGGTTTGCGGATTGAGAACAGAGGCTGCTTGTGGCCACAGTGGGTGTCAGGGTCATTGACTATGAGCTCTTTGAGGGCAGGAATGGGGCCTCATTCGTCTTTAAATGCTCAATGCCTAGCATGGTACCCTGCACACCATAAGCACTCACCACTATTGTTAAACTGAGCAGGAAACAGTGGATCCTCATCATAATAATATCCAATATTTACTAAGGGCTTGCCATGCGCCAGGCACTATGCTGAACCGAGCCCCATGAGGTTTAGTGACTGCTCCAAGGTCAAGCAGCTAAATACGTAGTGAGATTGGGATTTAACCCCCAGCCTGTGGCTCCAGCATCTGCCCTCCTAACCTCACAATACTGCCACTCACGGGGCTGCCCAGGCCCCAGAGACTAGGAGAAGGAAGGTGGTGTGGGTGGCACATTGCTAGAATCTCCATCCAGGTGAATATAGGTGAGTGGCCATGGTCTGGGGGTGGACAGGGCAGTTCTTCACCTGGGAAATACACAGAGGTCACATGTGCAACCTCCCTCCCTGGAGTGTCTCACCAAAGGCACCACAGAGGTTGAGCTGACTTCCCCCTCCCAGGTTTCGAGGGGCCTATCTCCACCTGCACTCTAGCTACCTCCCCGATACCCTGGGGGACCTCAGGGGAGGGGTGATCACCAGTGTCACCCTGCACTCCTTCTCTACCAACCTGGTGATGATGGTGAAGATGGCGGCCAAGGCCAGCTCCCTGATGACCTGTGCCACCCTGGTGTGGGTGAGTAGACCAGGAATCCCTTTGCATAGTGTGAGCCTTTCCTCACCCAGGAGTGTTCAGCCACTGGCTCACTCAGCTGGTGAGGGGAACGGCTTTACCAAGGTCACTTCATTTAATCCTCACAACAGCCCTCCTCTGAGACGCAGATTGCAGAATCACTTTCAGAACAGGAAATGGTCTCAAGGAGGCTAAGTAAAATGCTCACCATCACACACCCAGTTAGTGGCTGAGCAGGGGTTCAAATGTTGCTGTCTAACTTGAAAGCCTTTGCCTAGTGCTTCCCCGTGACCAGGAGCAATGGGTCCAGAATGGCCAGGGAGCCCTTCAGTTCTCACTGGATCTAGAAGCAGCACCCCAAGGGCAGCATGTCCCATTCTGAAAAGCTTGGATAACGCTCCAAATTATTTGAGTCTGTTCTGAGACTGCTAGCTCCCCACCCATGGGGAGGCTTCCTTCATTCTTTAAAACATGTGAACTGTGAGTTACACGTCCCTAATCTGAAATGCCACATGAAAACTAAGACGCGCTTTCAACCCCAACTACCCCCAACACCGTGGTGGCGAGTATTCCCGACTCCCACAAAACGCCCAGCAGACACGTTTCATGCTGTCTTATTGATGATGAGTGATTGGAGGAGGAGCAAGCAGTCCAGGTCCTCAGGACTCTGTGGGGTCCTATCAGTAATGGGGTGTTCTCCTGAGGTCTGGAATACCTGGAGCCTCAACCACCCAGCAGCCTTCAAACTCTGCCTCTCTAGAACAGATTTCCCGGAACAAATGCCATTGCAATGTGAGCCAGTGGGACACTTTTCACCGAGCCACGGCTCAGCTGCTGATTGAATTGTGCTTTTCTACTTCTTTAAAGAGCCTGTGAATGTTTAATGCTTGGTCTGACTTTCTCCTTTAAGCCGAAAGGTGAGGCCACAGGAATGGAGAATGGCCTGGTGAGTCAGCAGGCCTACACAGTGACGAGAGTGAGCAGGTAAGGCGCCCATGGGCCATGGCCAGTGTTCTGGCTCTTCAAAAGAGGACTCAGAATCACACACCTTCAGCAAGCCAAGCAAAGCCGAAATGAGTATCTGTCATTCTTGCCCCCATGGTGGCAGCCATCACGGACAGCCTCAGTTTCTTCTATTCATCCAGAAGTTCTGGAGTCCAGTATCCTCATCCCCAAGGGACCCACCAGAGAGCTTGCTATCCTTGAACTGATCTCAGACAGGCTGAGTGTCTAGCCTGGGGGATTAGCCCAAAAAGAAAGCAGAATGAACTACCCAATTGACTCTGGGGGAAGTTTTGCCCTGAAAGGGTTTTATTTGTTATGTGCCAACTAAACTACTATGACAAAGACACTCCACAATACAGGGGCTCCAACAAGATAAAGTTCATTTCTCCCCCAGGTGAGCAGGTGATCCCAGAGCTGGTAGGTGGCTCTGCCATCCACAACATGGGGCTTCTACTTGTGAGCCCAGGGCAGCTGCTTCAGGTCCCCTCATCTCTCAGCCAATGGAATAGAAGAGGCCAGGGGACTCCTGTATATCCAGAGAGATAGTGGAAAAGGCACACACCATTTTCCCTCAGATCCCATTATTCTGAGCCTAACCATGTGCCGTACCAAGGCCCAAGGGAGTCTGGGAAACATACTGCCTAGCTGGGCCTCCATACTCCCAGCTAAAACATTATTCCCATGGGAGAGGGGAAGATGGTTACAGGAGGGCAGTCTTTCCCCTTGATGCAAGAACTGACTTAGTGTGGACAAAAATGTATGCAATTACTGTGTGCAGTATCATTTGGTCTGGAAAACACCACTAAAGCGCCACCTCCTGCATTCATCAATGAGGAAGCTGAGAACTGAGAGGCAAAGGTCTTTCACAAGGTCACACAGCTACTCGAAATGGCTGGGCCCAGACACCACGTCTCCTCGGTTCCTATCTATGTTTCTCACGCAGCCATGCAGTGACAGCACTTCCTGGCCTTGTGCTGATTTCCCACAAATGTTCCCCATCTCTGTATTTCTCATAACTCTTGAGGTCTAATAATGTCTTTCTAGGCCCTAAGAGACAGCGCTCCAAGCTCCAAGGTCCATTTTTCACAGGTACTTATGAGCCAAGGAATGCAGGATGTCAGGTTCTATTTCTGGCATGCTTTCTCATATTTGCCTTCCCTCTCTCTGTATCAATGTCTCTCCTGTCCACTGACCTAAGGCCAGTTACTCCATTGTTTTGTGTTTTGGTGAATGTTCCAATCCACCAAACAGGGACAATATCTTCTGTCTCCCTCAGGAAATCAGTAACAAATGCTTCCTCTGCACAGCATCTGGGAGACAGCAGGCACCTAATAAATGCTTGCTGGATCAATGAGTGAATGTGCGTGCATGACTGAATGAATGCATTTGTCCTTGGCCTATGAAGATGACATCACTGATGCTCCATCATAGAACATATGTGAAGAGCTCAAAAAACATTTCCCACAAGCAGGGAAAAGGTTGTCCCGATAAACCCAGGCCAGAAGAGATCCCAGTCACGGTGGCTCCAGACTCCCTTCCTCTGAATTCTCCCAAGCTCTTCTCTGAATTCTCAATGGACACAGCCAATACCATCATCACACCTGGCCACGCACGGACACTCTGCTCCCCACAGCTCCCCAGTCCCAGATGTGGACAAGTCCAGGCTAGGGATAGCAAATCAGTTTTCTTGTATGTCAACTTTGATCAGTTGGCAATGCTACCTTGATCACTGTGTTGACAAGACTCTGGCACTGCTTCCAGGTTTGGGGAAAGAGAGCTGTGATCAATTAATGACGTCTGTGCTGGGCATGGAATGAAGGAGCAGTGGTACCTGCGAGATGTACCTGCTATTCCTGGACAAGGCCCTTTTTATGCACTAAGACAGCCTTTGTATCTCCTCAGAACACAGGGAGAAGGGACTTGCATATCCAGAGGTCCAGATGGCCACAGAACGTGAGGCCCCACAGAGCCTGGGTATGGGGATGGCAGTGACCGCCATGTTATAGAGCAGTCGTGTAAACATCTAGGGCCGAGGTCATGGAGGCGAACTTGGGAGTTGGAGTGTGGGCTCAGCTGGGGTTTAGGCTCCTGATGATTCTGCTCATAGCCCGAATGTCTGCTCCCCCACAGCACATGTTGAGTTGTTCTTACAATACACTGAGCGGTCTGAACAGGACACCTCCCCTTGTAACAGTAGGTGATCAAGACTACGTGTCCTATATGGTCAATTCCTGCCATTCTGTGGCTGCTCTCACTTCCCAGCACGTGCCCTGAGGAGCACCCACATGGTGAGATCCTCTGTGAAAGCAGGTTTCCAAATGTTTGGAAAATGCTGCTCACCATATCCCCTACTTGGAAATTCACAATGGACGTTAGCATTTTAAAGGCTCTAAGAAGGCCTGTATTAACACTACCAGTATAGCTTGGTTTTAATCTACCATTAGCCATGAAACCATTTTTCCTAGGAATAACTATTAACAGCCTATGGAACTAGCTAGAATTCAAGAGAATACATTTGAGGAAATACTATCCTAAGATAGATAACCTGGATTACCTCTTGCCAGTGGGACCTTTTCTGAGAGAGCTGACAAGGGCCAGGGGTGCAGTCAGTAGCCAGGAGACAGACACATGGAAGCCAGCCCATTCTCAGATGTAGCCATGACCTTGGCCTCAAATGGACCCCTGAGCCACCCAGCCAAGGCCCATGTGATCACCAGTAGGGCGCTATCAAAAAGGAGTGACACAGTCGGACAAGGGCCTGAGAACTTGGCTAAAGATTCCTCCTCCCGAAAGAGGAGGTTATAACTCTGACCACAAGTGCTAAGATTAAAACAGCCCGCAAATGCAGTGTGCTTTTTAATCTGCTTATCCTCCCTCTAGGTGGGATACAGACAGGAAGATGAATGAAATTGGCATTTTTTATTATGCACCTAGCTTGGTCGGTGACTCCCCTGGGCAAGGGGGGTAGTGTTTATCTGCATGCCTCATTTAGCCCTCTTTCAGCCCCTTCCCATTGCCGGCCGCTCTTTCCCCGCTGCCCAGCTGAGCCCCTGGCTATCTGTTAGGCACTGAGGTGGCTCATTAAGCTCTTTGGGCCACCAGGCAACCATTTCTCATGTCCCTGCTCCATGGGCTCCATCGGGGGCTGGTGGTTAATAATACACTGTGTGCAAGGCCTGGAGTGCCTGGATGTGGGGCAGAGAGGGGCAGGACACTGGGTTTAGGCCAGGAGCCCCCCATTCCAGGTAGGGTTAAGCCAGAGCACCTTCCGCTGCAGTGCAGTGATAGAAGCAGATAGAAAGGAACCTTATCCAAGCCAAGTTCTTGTGTCTGATGGCATTGCTCCATTCATGTCAATGCCCTATTGGTGATCACATGGGCCTCAGCCGGGCAGTTTAGGGGTTATATGTGAGGCCAGGGTCATGGCCACATCTGGGAATGGCCCAGCCCTGGAGCAGCTATATCCTTTATCTACTCCCTATTCCAAAACTAAGGGCCTGGGCTTTGGAGACTGACAGTGGCTGGGATCAGAATTCTGCCTCTGCCACTTACTCGGAGGCCTTGGGAAAGTTGCTTAACCTCTCTGACGCTCGGTTTCCTCATCTACAAGAACAGGATTATATGAACGTCTACCTCACAGGATTGAAGGATGAAACACACATCAAGCACCAGTCAGCCCCTGGCTCTGAGCCCTGCCTCCACACACGAGTTCCTTTTCCATACGGTGATATTCCACTCAGCGCTTTCTCAGCCCCCTCTGACCTGGAATCATCGAACTAGTTCTCCCGTTCCCTCACCCTCCAGGCCTCAGTCTCCTCAGACAACATTAGCACAGATCAATACCAAGCTATGTCTTAATCATCCTTTAATTCCTCTCGAAGGCTGAGGGCTCCTGGATCTGGGAATGTAAGTTCAAAGGTTGTGGTTGTTTTGTTGTAGCTTTTCAACAGTCTTGCCCTCTGGCCTCAGTGGTCTGAGGGAGCAAATGTGCCAACTTCTGTATCTGGGAGTGAGGGATGATGAGGTCCCCAGGGGAAGCAAGGAAAGTGCAGGCCATCGAGGCACCCTGCTGACCAACAGAGGCAGGGTGATGGGGGCCTGGTGTAGCGCCAGGGTTGCAGGCTGAGGAGGGCTAGCCTCAGATATCTCCACTCGCAGGCCATCCCAGTCATGCTCAAATCAGCCTCCTCTACTGGCCTCACTCAGGACAGCCGTGCACAACCCGGCACAGCTCCCAGTGGTCCCCTGGCATGGAAGCAGCTTTGTCTGTGGAATAGAGACACCGGCTCTATTGGCGGATGCCAGAGACCCATAAAGATCTCTCCTCTGCAGCCCACGGCAACGTATCATGCTATTTATCTGCTATTAAATCTCAGCTCGCCCAAGTTCTAGGATGCGGTCGTACAGAATGCCGCAGCTGCACCTGCCCTGCAAGATGCTGAGCAGAAAGAGGGGCCGTTTTCTCCTCTAGCTCATTCCCACTCCACGCAGGCAGCAGAGAGACATTGATTTTTTTTTTCCTTGCAATTTTTTTTTTTCTGGCTGCAGCCAAATGAGGTCAGAAGTTAAATTAGTCCTTGGAGGTGAAAAGCAGCTGAATTCATATCCCCTCTTTCTGCTGACTTTTGCTGGAGAGCACTGGCAGTTTCCTTTTCTGTTCCTAACAGATTCAGTACAGGAGTGGCTGGGAAGATCTTATCCGCCTGTGGACCCCCTGGGGCAACACCGAATGGAGAGGGCACTGGAGGGATGGGTATGGCGTCTGAAATCCTCTCTCTATCCTTCAGGAGACCCAGTGTTCAGAGAGCGCCCCGCCCCACAAGGCCAGCATCTGTCTCTCCTGCTGTGGATCTCACTGCAGGTCTGTCCAGTTCACACCTGTGTATGGCTGTCGGTCCCTCTCACACTCCCATGATGCCGTTTGCCAAGCATCTATTAGACACCTACTGTGTACTGTCTATACTAAGTATACGGTGTTAGGTTGGTGCTATGGGATATATAGAGATGACAAGACCCAGTGTCTGTCTTCCAGAAGGTTACAGTCCAGAGCTGTGAACCCACATAACCAGAATTATTTTTAAAAGGGGAGGGGAGAGGCAGGGCAGGTGCCAAGTTGGCAGAGAAAGATGGAGAGAAGGAGCCTTATCCCATAAAGGGATCCCATGGGATTCTGATCCTGATGACGCTATGTCATCGAGATGGACAAAGCTTCATTTTGGGGGAGTTGGGGCAACTGAGGCAAAGATCTGGATGATCTTTTTACTCAGTCCATTTGGGTTGTCCATCCTGCCCTACTGATCTGGACTCTCACGTGTAAGCCGAGTCTCGCTCACAATAGCAGTGAATGGAGCTAAGAGGGTCTCAGAAGGCCCTATTGGCCAAGTCCCAGGCAGCTGCTTTCTGACTGGCTGACCAGGGGGACCCAGCTGTGTGGTCAGTGGTTCTCGAGGAGCTGGGCTGGCATTTTCCAGCTGCCAGGAGGCCTGAGCCCTGGTCCTGTCCCACTTGCTGACTGAGAATCAGATGGCGGTCCTGAGAGGGATGGAGGCCCAGCCCTGTCGCATTCCTCTGAGGGCCTGCGTAGATCCACGAAAAGTGGGAGACACAGCGGCAGCCACAGCACATCGCTGGGGTTGAGGGGGAGGAGGGAGAGGCGGGAAGTAGAACATGATCTGAAAGGAAATGCCAAGCGTTCAGACAAACAGGAGAACAGGACCCAACGAGCAGTGAAAATCAATACAGTGAGAAGCGAGTTCTGGAAGGCAAATGCAGAGCTGGCCAGTGTCCCAGCCCCAAGTCTGGGCCATCCAGAACCCAGCCTGCTGCCCCAGGCTAGTCTGTGGCAGGGACGGCTCTGAGCCTCGGTGAGCACCCACAGCTGATGTGCGCCTGCGGGACCGGCCTCCGCAAATGTGAGGCGAACATAGGGACTTGGGGGTGGAGGGTAGAGAAGCGAGTGAGAGACAGAGGAAACAAGGTACGTGAGTTCATAGAATAAAACTGGTTGTGACCTCAGATCTCCCCTGGAGAACAGGGCAGCAAAACCATGAACCACTGGACTGTATTTGTACTTACTGTCACCCTTCCTCCCTTTATCTCGCCTCTATTCTTTGTTCACTCCCAGGAATATCCTTTGATCCTTCCAACGTAAATCTTAATAACCTCTGGCCTTTTCCAGATCTCCTTCCCAGTCATTACTCCAAGCTGCCAAATATGGCCCAGGGGACGGTACAGTTAGCCAGAATCCTTGATTCGGGGTTGGCTGTTGGGGGTAGGACTGGAGGAAGGGCAATGTCAATGATATGTTCCCCTTGGGTAGGAGAACAGCCCATAAACTCACATGAGTTGATATTTTGCCCATGTCTCCCAAATATCAAATGGCTGGTGACCGCAACCAGGGACACCAGAGATCAGGGAAGAGAAGCTTCCCACCAGCTGGCATGTTTGGAGAAAGCTTCATGAATGGGGTTGAACTTGAGTTCAACCTCAAAAAAAAAAAGTCTGATTCACTTCAGAAGAGATCACTGGGTAGGCGGGGACGTGTGGGCCAAGGTGCTGAGCCCAGAACGTTTGTAGTGTGTTCAGGGCGAACAAGCCAGCCTGAGGCAGAGGAACCTGGGAGAGAAGGGTTGGGAGCTGGGCTGGAGCCCAATTCCAGCTTAGAAGTTTGGGTTTACACCCTCCAGGCCTGGGTATTTCCGAAGGCTTTCAAACAGGGAGAGAGGTGTGCAGAACGGGGATTGGAGATGGACGGTGCACCTACTCCATAGGGTCATGTACTTTGAGTGCTGAGGTTCACCATTTCCCACCAGAAACCAGGCTGGAAGGAAGAGACAGGGGCTGCATAATCACTGTCTCCACGCAGGTGGTCGATTTCCTCCCTACTTTTTAAGGAGTGGAGATGGATGGAGAGAGCCAGATGGTCTAATCTCAGCCATGATTGAAATTTCAGTCGCACACACTTAAAGGCAAACTTGCATGAATCGATAGTGTATTGATTTACACTACATTTATTTTCCCTTACACACTGAAGAAAATGTAATTATTGCTTAATTATAAAATTGCCATTTTTACAATAATACAGTTGACTGGCTCATCCTGCAGCCAGAAGCCTGAGTGGTGGTCCCTGCCTTGCTCTCCCGGCACAGAGGTGACCCAGGCCCTTCATGAAAGCCACTTCCAGAGAAAGATCTCATGACACTTCTGTGCCCCTGGGACCCATTGCCTATGAGCCTGCCTCCACTTTGAGGAGCGGGCTGAAGAATGGACAGTGGCTCCCTTCTGCCTGTGAGGGTCTCCTCCTTCACCACACACCCTAGGACTAGCTTCTGGAACACATTATCTCAATGAAGTGGACAGCTTTAATTATTAATTAAGCAAGCAAAAAATTATTGTGTGCCTACTATGTGCCAAGTATTATGTTAAACTCCTGTTATGATATAATGATCAGCAAGCCTCACTGAGCTCATGGAACCTGAACTCTAGTGAAGGACAGCAAGAAATCAATGAGAACTAGTGATACAGGGACTAAGTTCTGAGACAGAAGTGGTACAGGAGGGTGCCATGGGGGCTCAAAGGTGGCGCACCTACCCCAGAAGTGGGGCAGGGGCGCCATAGGGGGCAAGCAAGGTTTCTCAACAGAAGTACCTTTTAAGAGGAGAGATGAGTAGAAGTGATTGGTTACAGGACTGAGAGGAGGAGGGGTATTCCAGCAGAGGGAGCAGCATGGCAAAGGCCAAGAGGCCGGGGGTAGGGGGACGAGACTGGAGAGGACAACGACATGGGACAACGCAGGTGTTTCTAAGGAAATGAAGACACTCATTACTGCTGAAGCATAGAAGTCAAGCGGGGGCGAAGAGGGAGCTGCTCAGGTGCAGCTGGAGAGGTAGGCAGAGGCCAAGGTTCTGTTTCAGGAGTCTGACCTTCATCCTGAGAGTAAAGGGAACCACTGATGTGTGTTCAGCAGGGAAATGCCATAATCAGACTTCTGCTTGAGAAAGACCATTTTGATGGCCAAGTGGAGAATGGTTGGGAAAGTGGGCAGGACTGAGTTTGGTGAGAGCAGTGGGAAGTCTGAGATGGAGATGGTTCCTGAACCAGGAAAATAGCAGTAGGGATGGAAATATGTGGATGGCTTTGAGAGCGGGTTAGGAGGTGGAATCAATAAATCCTTAACATTTGGTGATTGTTTGGATGTAGGGGCACATGAGAGAGGGACTGCTCATGTTCTCACTCGGGCAACAGTAGGAGGCAGAGGGTAAGTAGAGTGTGGGATGGATTGATTTTCAAGTCACTGTGGGGCTCTGGTGGAGACGTGGAGTGGACTGCAGCGTGTTTATCCATCTAGAGCTCAGGAAAGAGGCTTGGGCTGGGCACAGTTTGGAAGCCCTCAGCATACAGGGAATGATGAGTCCTGTCATTAGGTGGAATGACACTCTCCATTTGCCCCCCAGGAACTAATGGAGGTCTGTGCAAATGGCCCCTGTTGGGCCACATGGGGTTAAGATGAAATGGGAGATCTGGGAGATCTCACCCTATGGTCTGTCTGTCCATGTTCTGGTCTCCGGAGTGGTAGGAAACCTGCAACCAGTGGAAAAGCCAGCTGTATGAGAATAAAGACAATGGCGAGTTTTTGTATTGACTCTTCTCTTAAAATTATATTTTAAATTTTTAACTATTTCCAAAACCCTCCATCCCTACCCCTTTCCCTAAACTTTTGTGAGAATAGAGATTAGCTTTGCAGAGACCTACATAGAAGGAGCCTATTTTTTCCACCAAGACAGAAAAGCTTTATATGGGAAATTATTTGTGTGCTTCCTCTTTGTATGAAAGGTATTTCAGCTCTGAAATATTGGAACTTCCAGGAAATGTTCATAGTAAAAGGAAATATTGGTACCCAAGCTTTGAAATCAACCGTTTCCTGGAAACTCAGATGCATGGTTATTATGCCTGCATCTTCCATGCCATCTTGTTAGGACCGTGGAGCTCCATGGTCTCCCCAGGCATAAACTGCAATCTCCCAGGCCTGACTCTAGAGTTCTGGGTGAGACGTTGTTGTCCTCACCAGCTACATAGGACTAGATGTTTTTGTTTGTTTATTTTTGTCTTTTGGGTTTTTTTTTGGTGAGGAAAATTAGTCCTGAGCTAACATCTGTTGCGAATCCTTCTCTTTTTGCTGAGGAAGATTGGCCCTGAGCTAACATCTGTGCCCATGTTCCTCTATTTTATATGTGGGACGCCTGCCGCAGCATGGCTTGATAAGCGGTGCATAGGTCCATACCTGGGATCTGAATCCATGAACCCCAGGCCTCTGAAACAGAGCGTGCAAACTTAACCACTATGCCACCAGGCCTGCCCCAGGATTAGATGTTTTAAAAGCACATTCTCGGCCATATGCTCACATCTTAAAGGATAAGATGGACATTTCTCTGAGGGGTTGTCTGGTTTACTTAGTAACATATTTAAATGAAATTTAGTGTGTGTGAAAAGGAGGCTGGATCTAAGTAACTATGAATCAGAGGGACAAATATAAATTAGAAGGAAAAATATTTCCAGTATTTCTAATTTAATCAGAGTACCAGCTGGGATTTTAGGTGTTGAGTCCATTGTATTCTAATAAAGACCTCAACAAAAAATTTGGCAAAGGCACCTAGGGAAAGATGATTTTCCTAGCAGTGTGTAGGACCCATGGCAGAGAGAAACTGACAGTCACCCTGTGGGCCATGAGAGAGACATATAGAACCAGAATTTGACTCTGTCCTCGTCCTCCCAACTACCAGAGGGAGCAGAAGGGTACTTGACGGCGGATGAGCCAGAATGAGGCTCTGATCTTTGGGTAGGACAGTGGTACGTCAATGGATACTTTAGCTGACAGGCAAAGGAAGTGTAAAGCGATGGGAACCTCCACTCTAGGGACAAAACCAGTGGTCATTGAGTGATGTGTGTCTATTTTTAACAGAATGTCATGTCAAGATTTCCAAGAGAACTTCTCCTGCCTGTATATATGTAACCAATTTCCTTTCAGTCAACCTGGACCATGCAAACATACCCCATGAAAGATGGTCCCAAATGATGTTTAAGAACCTTGTGATTCCAGGAAACACCGCAGGTAGTTATATGACATCGGTAATTATTCTGCCAGAGGGGAAGCTGCGAGCCCTAGCCCTGTCCTGGTTTCAGGTCTCAATAGCCCTTGATTCTAGACCATCAGCCTGAACTTGAAAGGAGAGGAATTTGTCAGCCTAAAGGGAAAGCTCTATTTCCCCAAAGGAAATGACCATGGCGGGGATGGGAAGGGGGTAGGAGAATCTCAAATGTGACCCCCCTGCCCTTTTATGCTCTCCCACTGCCCTTCTACTGACCTCCACCCACCTCCCAGGAGGACAGGCTCACTGCTCTTCAGTATTTATCCAGGACGATGGGCGGGATGTGGAAGAAACACTGCACATAAGTCAGGGCCTGGGTTAAACCATTGTTTTGCCACCTACTGGCTTTGTGACCCTGGGAATATAGCTAGTCTCTCTGTCCTCAGCCTCCCCAACTGTAAACAGTGGAATAGTAATCCCTATCTGACCCTTGAAACTACAGAGCACCATCCAGACATAAGGGAGAATATTCCTGCCCATGTGGGTTGGTCTATCCTGCAGCAGGATGCTGAGATCCCAGAGGTAGTCTCCTCAGAACATGCCTTTGGGCTCCTCTGAAATGAATCTTGTTGACTGTGACCTTGGGAGAGTCATATATTCTCATTGCACCTCCTGCTCCCCATTTGTGTCAGCACCAAGTAAAATAGCTCCCTGCCAAGATGAACTTGAGTATGCTTACACATCCTTGATAGAAAAAGCTGTGCAAACAACATATTTGTGTCTGTACGCGCGCGCATTTGTTTGCATCTAGACATGTGCATTCCCTCTCCAATAATGCCTGTTGAGAATGGTTCTCTTGAATGAACCCCCTACCTCAGGGTATCCCTCTTCTGAACCTCCAGGCTCTTCACTCTGCTAGTCAGAGAACCTAGTCACCAGGAGGCCATGGGCAGACTCAAAGAAACCGCTGAGGCACTCTTGGGCAGCAAATTTACTGATTCACCTTTCTGAGCTGCACCTGTCTGACTGTGGGGCCAAAGCCCTCTTCGCAATGAACTAACCAATATTATACATTGAGGCCATTTTTAGTAATTCTTTACAAGGGAGAGAGGAAAGGGAGCCAACCAGCACCTGCTATTTGCTGTTAAGTGTACTTTAATGTATCATGTTCAATCCTCACAAAAAGCCTATGAGTGTGATGGTCCTCGATGTCTCCCCATTCCCCTTTCAGAGCTTCCCAGTTGTGACCCAAACTTTCTGATATGTATTAATTCATCTCCGTCTTGACTTATCTTCATTATTTCGTGCATTTGAAGCTAATGGTTTTCACATTTGTTCTCTCCCTTGCTCTGGCTTTGATGAGCATGCTTTGGTAGTAGAGGATGATGAATTGCCATCTCTGCCTATTTTCCTCTGTCTCCATTGGCACTTGGGGGATTGACATCATTTCAAGGCTCTGATGGTTATCACCAATGCATAAGCTCAGGCATACCTGAGAACTCTGGAATTCCACTTATTATTACAAAAACAGCCCTCAACTTGACAGTTTAAGAAACATTTTCACCAAATAAGGAATACACTCCCCCTCATTGTTTTTAAGAGGAGAATACTGAGGCTCACAAAATAAAGAAGCCTGTCCCACAATAGTAACTGTGGGACTGGGACCCAGGCCTTAAGTCTCCAAATCCAGAGTTTCTAACCCTACCCCCAGGGTTCTCTGAACTGGACGTGGCCCCGTCTGGGAGTACAAGGAGCCAGGCTGAGCTCCCATAACAGCTCTTTCTCCTGCAGAAGGACTTCAGAGGGACACGCAGTACATATTCTCTGTGCTGAGAGCCTGGAAGCCAACAATGTCGTCATGTCCTTCAATGTCATGCCACAAAATTTAAAGGCAAAAGACGAGAAATGTCCACTAAGCTTCAATGTGTTCAAGGTAAGGCGGCCTGCTTCAGGGCGTGCCCTGTCAGGACATTTGTGGAGATCTTGGGCAGAGAGAGCAGCTGGCCGGGCTGGGCGAGTTCCCTGAACCACAGCCTTGGAGATGAAACCCAAAGGGCTATGGAGTTCGTCTGGTCGACTCTGTAAATTTGCAGGAAAACCTGAGACAGAGGAGATTAGACTTGACCAAATTTACAGTGGGACACACCTCCTGCCTGTGTCACTTGTCAGCATTTCCTGGCATGCTGCAGGCTCTAATACTACTCAAAGACTGTTCTGGTCCAAGACCAGCACAATGCAGATTCCTGGGACCACCCCAAATCTGAATCCGAATCTCCATGGACAGAGCCTGAAAATCTGCATTGTCATGAGCTCCCCGGTGCTGCTTATGCATATGAATGTTTGAGAATCATTGGCTAAACTTTGGGAGGAGTTTAAGGAAAAAAATAATCTTGGGTATAAAGCCAGGAGGTATGTTTTTCTCTCATATTTAGACCAAAGTCCAGTCATAGCTCAGTGGTTGACTTGCAAGCATCTGCTTGACCACTCATCCAAGGCTAGGTTTTCTTCTCCACCTAGCATTCCCTCCACCCTCACGGCACTCCCAACCAGCTTTTCAGCTCCTGAGGGGCTATCCCCCCACCCCCACACCTGTACATACCCCAACTGCGAGTAGGTAATCAGGGAATTCATTCCTTTAAAAACTACCATTTAAAAGAAAAGAATTACAAAAGAAAATCTGATACCTCTGCTCCCTCCTCCTTCCCCAAATCATTTAATGCATCCCAAAGATAAAGTGGGTGGTTGTCAAATCATATACCCACAGCCTCTCTGCACTACGTGGATAACTAAGATGGCGCAACCATCAAATGCTGGGATCCCCTCTCCTCACATTAGAGTTGAAGAAACTGAGGCCCAGCAAGCTGAAGGGACGTGGTCGGAGTTAATGGCAGAGCTGGGCACTGGGCACCAGAGGCCCTCCAGCTTTCAGTCAAACACACCCATCACCTCTCTGGTGGAGCTCTGATCACAGTATCTCTGGGAATGATCTCAGTTTCTGTTCACTGAGACTAAGGCATCACTCACAACCATGGTTCTTAGCCATACGGACAGGCAGTGCTCCTGGGTGCCTCGCTCTTGGCGGAGCAATCCTGGGCACTGGCTGTGGTTCACTCTAATAAGAAGGCCTCACTGATATAGTACTTCAGAGTTCCAAGCGTGTTCACATTCGTTGTCTCAAAAACCCTGGTATCCCCACTTTTATATATGTGGGAGCCAAAGCTCAGAGAGCAAGAATGACCTGCCCAAGGTACAGCTAGGAGGTGACAGGGGAGTGCCTGATAGCGGAACTCATGGTCCCAGGTCCGGGGCGCTCAGCAGGGCTCACACACTTGCCTTTCTGGTGATGCTCACAGCTCGAAGAGAAACAATGATTCTGGTTCTAGAAGGAGGAGAATCTTTTGGGTTCTGCTCTCTCTGAGCACATTTCCACTTCCTAGTTGCATGAAATCAATGGAAAAGAAATTGTTGGGGTTTAGCACAATACTTTTGAGGTACTTCAAAGCTGCTGAGGCTATCGAAGAACATCTCCTAAGGATGCAGTAGTGGACAGTTGTCGTTTTTATCATGACCAGGTGCCTGAACACTCTTCCACTTAGTGGAAGGCAGGGCCTAGTCTCCCACTGCAGCAGCCAAAGAGGCCAAATGTTCCCTTTCCCCAGCCCTCAGATGCAAAGGGATAGATTTGTGACCCAGTCTTGTCCAATTAGATGCCCCCCTCATGCCCCCTGCACCACACACACACTCTCGGTCACTCTGGACTTTGACCCTTGAGGAGGTAAATAAAAGGTAGGACCAGCCCAGGGATTATTTGCAGCAAATCTTTGGGCCTAGCAGCAGCAATGCTGGCAGAGCCTGTGGCGGTGTCCAACTGTGTAGCCATCTCTTCTGGTTCCTGCCCACTTTCCAAACGGCATTCTCTAGACTTCCCATTGACTCTGTAAGCTATCCTTCCCAATAAATTACTTTCTGCCCACCCCACCCTGGGTTCATTTCCATTGCTCTCAGCCAAGAATCCCAACTGATTCAAGTGCCTTCTAAGAAGACTCTCATCCCCAGAGTCCCCAGACTCTCACCTCTGAGAAGAACAAGAGGAAAGGATTTGAGAAGGACTGGGAAGGAATTGAGGCATCTGGTCTACCCAGCCAGATCTGAACAGTTCAGGGCACAGGCAGGTCTACTAAAAATGTCTCAGCCAACTCTTCCCTTTCCTGAGGACAGACAGAAGCCCAGAGAGGGTAAGAGGGCCGCCCCAGTGCACAACTCCTAGGGGTGCTGTTCACATTGTCGTCTATGAGCCTGATCCCCCAGAGCAGGGCAACACAACAGCCTTGTGTTAACTGATTTGCCCAAAGTCTTTATAGTTCAGGAGCCCTGGCAAGATTGTAGTCATATCTGTTTTTTAAATCCTGCCAAGCCCATTTCTCTACTTTTCATTCAGAGATGCATTATTTCTCAGCTTCTCACTTTACTAAAGAGGCAGTCAGACCTGAGATCTCCTCAGGCTCCCTGGAGATCCCAGTGGATCTTGCAGGATCTTGATCAAGTTAAACACCAAAAAATAGTCCAGACCTTGATGACTCAAGAGACACTTGGGTTCCTTTCACAGTTCAGCTGAGAAACAGGCTGTGTGTGCCAGCAAGCAGACTCTCAGAAGTCCCCAGGGCTCTAATGGTGCCAATGGGTACAGTGCTGCCCAGGTGACAGCTACGTATATGGTGCTCAGGTCCTGGTGTGGGCCTGTGACTCCCCAGCTGCTGTGGGAGCACTGCTTTGCCTTGCATCAAACCAAACTTGGGTGGTAGACAAATAGGCAGGGAGAAGACAGGACAGAGAAAAAGGACAAGGGTGGACGAGCCATTTCATCTGCACCCCAAAGCTCCTCCCACAGGCTGGGACTTTCCACCTCCCTTCTAGTTCACCCCTGGTCTCCAGAGAAGTCTTCCTGGGCAAATCAAGTGGCCCTACACATAGGTGAGGCCTGGGCTCAGCAGTGGAAAAGAACTGAAACCCACACCAACGGTGGAAGACAGTGCCTGGTGGTGGGTCTTAATTACAAAGGAAGCAACACAGCTTGCTCTATTCTCGCCTCTGCTACTTGGACTGCTTAGCCTCAGTTACCACATCCATAAAATAGGGAGCCTAGCATCTGCTTGCAGGATTACTATGACAATCCAACACATTACACAGAAGTGCTTTGCAAACCGTGGAGTGGCTTAAAAATGGGACTGCATCCTTGGTACTTCCTTCTGCCACACGGAAAGACTGAGATGTAGGTATTTCCCATTCAGACACTCACATACAGTCTTTATAAACCCTGGGGGGCCTAGAACAAATCCCACCATATTTTACAGTGGTCTGATGGAATAAAGGAAATTTACTTCTCATTGGAGCTCCCAATGTTGGAGAACTTACATTGGTCCAGGTTTTGTCTTACCTCCAGGGCCTCGTCAGTGTCTCACTTCTCCTGATGATGATTTTATCATCACTGCTGTAAAGAGTAACCACAGCTGGCTGAGCTGGCGAACGGAGAGTCTCCTCCTCCCAGGCACTTGCTTCCCCTCCCTGATTTCCTTCCCCTCGGCGCTCCCTACAATGGGTAGGAGCTTTTTCACAGCTCCTCACAGGGAATGAGTAACTGTCCCCGTTCACCCCAGGTATGCCAGGGAACAGGCTGACTGTGCAAGAAGAGGGAAGGCAGGGCCCTGAGCCAGGCTGCCGGGATCTGCTTGCCTTTATGTTTTGGTTTGGGCTCCTGAACCTGCCTTTCTTCTTCTTCCCCACAGGTCAACCCTCAGGCATGGCTCACCACCGCCCTCACGGGACTTCTCACGCCTCTGTTGCCATCCATCCTCTTCCAACACCCATGGCCTTGATATGTCTCTCACTGTTCAGTGGCTGCAGATTCAGTCTTGCCATGTGCTGTAACAGATACCAGCTTAGAATCTGCAAATGGGTCAACAATGCAGGGCAGATTTTAGCTGTCCTGGTCTAAAGGTTGGCCCCCTCTGGCTGCTCTCTGGTTTGACATCCAAGAGGGACTGCAACCGTGAAACTATCTTCAAGCATTTGGCTTCTAATAGATAAGACTATGCAGCTGGTTCCTTTTTTTGTTTTTTAAATTCTTTTATTGAGGTCATATTGGCTCTAACATTGTGTAAATGTCAGGTGTACGTTATTATATATCAGTTCCTGTATAGACTGCATTGTGTTCATTACCAATAGTGTAGTTTTTATCCATCACCATACATATGTGCCCCTTTATCCCTTTTGCCCTCCCCAACCCCTTCCCCTCTGGTTACCACTAATTTGTTCTCCTTATCCATGTGTTTGTTTATCTTCCACATATGAGTGAAATCATATGGTATTTGTCTTTCTCTGTCAGACTTATTTCACTTAGCATAATACCCTCAAGATCCTCTGTGTTGTCAGAAATGGCAAAATTTTGTCTTTTTTATGACTGAGTAGTATTCCATTGTGTATATATATATATATATATATATATATATATATATATATATATATATACCACATCTTCTTTATCCATTAATCCATTGATGGGCACTTGGGTTGCTTCCACGCCTTGGCTATTGTGAATAATGCTGCGATGAACATAGGGTTATGTAAATCTTTTTAATTTATTGATTTCATGTTCTTTGGAGAAATACCCAATAGTAGAGTAGCTGGATTGTATGGTATTTCTATTTTTAATTTTTTGAGAACTCTCCATAGTAGCTGTTGAGATAGCTGTTTTCCATAGTAGCTGAATGAGATGCAGGGCTAATGAGGGTCCCTTGGGTGTGGGGGGGATCTTGAGCCTCCTGTATTCTTTGTCAGCCGCCAAATCCACCACAGCCAGGATGCATGCTGTGCAAATATGATTTCAAGGCACATCCTCTAGCTCTGTTTACAACCAAATCAGCACCCCTTCTAAGTAGATATTCTAGCTCAGCATTGGTGATACGTGAGTAAGGATGGAGAAGAACAGATAGTTTGGGAAGCTTGACCTCACAGGCACTCAGACCCCTTAAGTGGATGTGGGCTCTGTGGGGCTGTTGTTGCCAAGGAGAGGCGCATGTGCCTGGGGACGGAGGATGGAACAGAGGGAGCGGGATGTAGCCACAGCCAACAGGTGGGGACTATAGCATGCTGGTGGGTCCAGGGAAGCTCTTCCAGGCCTTCCACGGTGCTCTAGCGTGTAGACAGAGGCCAGACAGGGCATCTCTGAGCAGGGGATACTCAGAGGCTTGGGCAGGAAGAAGACAGCAAGGAGACCTCTCTGTCACAGCCATGGCCCAACCACAGAGCTGGGTGTAGGATCCAACTCTTGTCCACAGCACCTCAGTCACAGAAGTGGAAGTTCCAGAAAGGCTTTGATGGAAGCATTCAGGTGCAAGGAGCAAGTCGGTAGTCTAAATCCCAAAGCTAGAGAACAGGATGGGGACTTGATCCAGGAAAAGACACAAGCCCCATCCCTAGAACTAGATGGTCAGGTCTGTGGGTGACTAGCTTCATGTTAATTTGACGCTGGGTCCTCTGAGCTCTGGATCAAGAGCCTCCCATCAGGCCCCCATACTCACACTTCTTGCTGCCATTGAACAAGTCTGTTCTGAAGGATCAGGAGCCTGGACAGGCACGAGGGTCCAGTGGAGGGAGGAGGGCAGGAAAACAGGTAAGCAGGGAGATCCTTATATTCTAGATTATAGGAGGCATGGTGCCCACACACCTCTGCACACACTGCCTCCACACGTGCACATGTGTGCATGCATGCACACACACATGTGCACACATACTCATACCCAGAGCACAGGACGGTGCTGACTCTCTGGAGAAGAACTAGTCTCATCATTGCTTTGGCCAGAAGGGCCCAAGCAAGCCAGGCTCCAAACACACCAGGGCTGCTGTTATCGTCAGCAGAATCACTTTGGAGGGTCCTCCCAGCCCCCTGCTGCATACCGAGGACAGTGGCCTATCTCCTGTCTTCCTCTGTCGCCCAGCCCTGTCCCCACCCCCTGAAAAGAAACTCTTCTCTTCTTCCTGTTTTTCCCCAAGGCAGAGCTCACAAAGAATCATTTCACGCTGCGTAACCATTCTAAATGGAATCCCTGTCTTGAGTATATTGGGAAAAATTTATTTAGTAAGGGGTTTTTATTATGTAATATATATGTGACATTCGGTAATAGGAACTGCATTATATTTATTGTTTTATCTCTAAGAAAATATTGAAATAAAAGGAAAATGATCAGGGCCTATTATTCTCCAATGAGAAGGAATTTCAGGGCTCTGCTGGAAAGATGGGATGGAGGAAGTGGAGGCCAACTCCGCATTTGCATCCAAAGAGTGCTTTTGCAAAAGGTTCAGGAGAGAAGGGGCTTTAGAGGCTCCAAAAGTAATTCTGTGTTGGAACAATCTCACTAGTTTTTGTGGAAGTCTTCTTTATGGACAAGCAGAGAGATAAGCCCAGAAACTCAGGATGCTGTTAGATTTAATGAGGTAAAACCATGTGTCACGTTTCTTTGCATTCACTGTAGTGGTAGCATCTACAGTAAATAACAGTCTGAACTCTGTTCCATTTGGAGAGTTCAGGGAAGCACTGTCTCCCTTTCCAGGGCTGCACTGCTGTTTTGGTGAACGGGGAGGGGTCTGGAAGGTGATGGGTCTCTCCCCATGGCTGGGGCTCCCTCACACGGGGCGTGGGGGCTTTCTTACCATCATCCTGTTTCCTCTTGTTTCAGCACTTCCGGGAGAGGTTGCTGCCTGCATTTTTTCCCAGTTCAGAAATGCTGACATTTCTGTCACAGTTTCTAAAACTTAGTGCGCCCTCACGAAGCGCTTCAGTCTGAATCCTGGGACCTACGTGGTGGTCATCACTGCATACAAAGAAGCAGTTGAGTTCCTGCTCCAAATCTTCCTGAAAATGCCAGACAGTGACAGGTACAGAACCTCTGGAATTCTAAATGTTTTTACTGAATTTTATAAAAACACATGGCATCATTCTGTGCAGCACATACTGTGTCTGTGGGGGACACAGCGTGGGCCCCACTCTCAAGGAGCCCACCACAAAGGGAGGCGAGAAAGTTTGTGAACCAATAACTAGACCACAAACAGGATGGGGCCGTTGCTCAATGGAAACACAGAGTCTCATGGGAGGACAGAGTGGAGGAAACCACCTCTGGCAGGAAGGACTGAGGAGGGCTTCTTAGAGGAAACAGCATTTGAACTAGTCCTTGATGGAAAACATAATTTGGTGTTTTAAAGGGGAGGGCAATGCAGGTGGAAGAAAGGGGCCGACCCGGTGGCTTAGTGGTTAGGTCCACGTACTCCGCTTCGATGGCCTGGGGTTCGCAGGTTCAGATCCCGGGAGTGGACCAACGCACCACTTGTCAAGCCATGCTGTGGCGGCCTCCCATATAGAGCAGAGGAGGATGGGCACAGATGTTAGCCCAGGGTCAATCTTCCTCAGCAAAAAGAGGAGGATTGACCACAGATGTTAGCTCAGGGCTAATCTTCCTCACACACACACACACAAAAAAGCTTGAGCAGAAGCAAGGAAGTGGGCGAGCACAGGGCTTGTTGAAGAATAAGTGATGTCAGCCATATGCATAGGAAGGTGGTACATGGCATGCATGGCAGTTGTCTGAAATGTGGCCAGAATGTGGGGTACATCAGGGAGACAGTGAAAGGTGGGCCTGAAAGATAGAGTCTGATCGTGGAGGGTCTTTGATGTCAAGTCAATGGTCAAGACTGGGATCAGCAAGTACCCAGCCTGCTGGTTGCCTCATCCTCCATTGGACCCGAGGCAGACAGCGCTGTAAACACGGCCATCTTTACAGTTGAGCATAGATGAGTGCTTCTCAGTCCAGCATGCCAGACAACCACTGTACCACCAATCAGAGTTGGAACATAAAACAAAGCTCATCTGCCATCCTGGCAATGGGGGTCACTGTTGATGTGTATCTGGTTGTGAAAGGAACAATTTACTAAAGGGTTTGAAGACCAGATGATGTCCACCCAAAAGATTGGACACGTGGTCATGATGCTTGTACGCTGACTGCTGGGCCGCCCACTTCACATCCTGCTTTGCTGAGGGCTCTCCGCTCAGGTCCTTGGCATAAAAGTCCAATGCCACCTAGGGTGCCCCCCATATGTAAACCTCCTTTGAATAGTGAGCTGACCATCTTGATCACACTCTGCTGATTTTCTAGGAACCTGGGCAGTGATTTCAATCTCAGAGCATTGAAGGTAGGTGTGTGGCAAGGTTTGGTTGCAAACTTCATTGGCCACATCCCATTCCCAAGAGCTCCTATGCTTCCTTCCTGCCTCCCTACTGACCAGTGAAAGCAGAGAGACCATAATGGGTTGATGATGGCTCAAAGGGACAGGATGGAGGGGAGAAGACCAGGCCTCCAAGGCCAGGCTGGACCCAACCATCTTCCTTCCATAAACTTTCATATTCCCATTCCCCTAAAGGTTTTATCTGGTTGCTGGTTGAATCTTCTGTCTCAGATCTAGGTGAGGGGTCCTTGTGCCCTCACTGTACCAGACAGGTGGCCTCCTTCCCCAGAAATTTGATGTTGGTTACTTTCCCTTTGATCCAGGCAAGTCTTCGAGAAAATGGCTTCCAACAAAATATTTTCTACAAATATGCTCATCAGGTACAGTACTTAGCATGGTGGTGGTGGGACCAGAAGTAAAGAAACATCTCCCAGGCCCTTATCAGGATACAGAGAGGAAAAGTGATTTGATGGGTCATCTTATCAGCCTCTCTCCCTGGATGTCTGCAGAACTGATCTGGCTACAAAGCTCTGGAGAGACATGGTGCCCCACCTGGGTAACATCTGGGATGGAATGTAGAGCGTGGAAAGGGAGGAGCTAATTATGGGGTGTGCGTGTGTGTGTGAGAAAGAGAGCTTTTTAAATCTTTAAACAAGCCATTGGCAATACCCCTTGAAATTTTTCCCTCTCCCGCTCTGCTACCTCCCACCAACCTTGGCATCATTCCTCCCGGGAGCTGGCCAGCTTTGGAAAGCAGCAACGGCATTCTTCCTGCCAAGCCACCTATGCGCAAGGGGGATTTTCTTAATGGTTTAATAAGCTGTTGTAAAGAACTCCTTGACTTGTCAGGATAAAAACAACTTCCAAGGGCTCTGCATGGTGGGCCTTTTACCGTTGATAGTCATGTTGGTGTGGGAAGTGGAAAGTGAAACAGACGATCGTGTGTACCTTGCCAGCCTCGGTCCAGGCAGAGGCCAAGGACAGGAAGGATGCCAGGCCTTCAGAGGGCTAATGGGGCAGTGATAACCAGGAGGCAGCCCAAAGGGAAATTATTCAGGCAGCCTGCACCCAGAGGAAAAAACAAGCAGAAATGAAGAATGTGGCTGGCATGAGGGGTACATGTTGCAAGGAGCAGCTCAGTTGGACCTCTTTGAAATCAATATGGGCCCAGGATTCAGGTCCACGTCTAGGCTGATTCAGAAGGCACTTCACTTGATGCAAGACAAGGTCTGCCAAGATGATTGTCCCCAGTCTGTGAGCTCCCCAAGGCAGGGGTGACATCGTATGCATCCTTTGTCCCCAATACCTATCACTACCCTTGGCATAGAAAAGGTGCTCAATCAATTTGCATTGAATTAAGACAGATTAGCTTCCCCAGAGCAAATTGCCAAGCTAAGGTGACTGCCCCCAGATGATCAGCAGGACCTGATTAGGATACCTGAGACCAAGCTTCCTTCAGGAGCAGGTAGTAAAATCCTCAACATGGCCCATGCCCCTGCACATCTGAAATTAAATATGTAATTTTTTATAACCTCATAGAGGGTAACTGGTAGCCCATATGGGCCTTTGTAGGAGTTAAAATGAGACAGATGCAGCTTTGTGCAAGGTGTGTGGCTGGGAACTGGAACATGGACCAGACTCCAGACCGTTTTTACCCCTCGCCTGGGCACCCTTGAGTAGGGTTAACCTGGCATCATTCTGCACAAGCTGAAAACTATCCTCAGAGGTTGTGTCCTTAAAGAAAAGTTGAAAGCAAAATATTTGTGCACGCACTCACTGTGTCATCTCTCCTGATCTCTTGTGCCTTTTAACTAGCCTTAAACAAACACAATGACTGGTTCCTGCCACTACCATTCCCACGAGTTACCTTCATGGCTGTAGAGGTGGTGATGGTTCTATAACCCAGGGTCTGCCTGTGAGAAAGGAAGTACTCACTCAGCCTCCAGGACAGGCTGAGTCTATCCTGCCTTCTTTTATTCAATTGGCAAATATGTACCAAAGGTCATTCCAAGTACTACGTTAAGCTCTGGGAATGCGAAGCGTGAGTCCTCAGGGATCTTACATTGAGGTGGCAGAGGCAAATGTGAAATTCTTTGGAAATTTGTTTAGGCAACCTTCATCTTCATTGCTTCCTCATCTCCTCAAGCATTTTGGTGGTCACTAGGTTCAGGGTCCCCGTCAGGGGGTGTCCTGGGGTGGGGGACATGCAGAAGGAAGGAGATGGCCCGTGCCCCACAGCTGCTTATATTCTAGTTGCTAACTCCATGTAAGTTAGTTCCTCACCAGCATGTCAACTGCTCTTCAAAGTAGGGTGCCCTGATTCTTTTGACAAAAAACATCCGTTGAGGTGGCGCCGGCCCGGTGGCACAAGCTGTTAAGTGCGCGCACTCCGCTGCGGCGGCCCGGGGTTTGCCGGTTTGGATCCCAGGCGTGCACTGACACACTGCTTGTCGAGCCATCCTGTGGCGGTGTCTCATATAAAGTAGAGGAAGATGGGCACGGATGTTAGCCCAGGGCCAGTCTTCCTCAGGAAAAAAAGAGGAGGACTGGCATCAGACGTTAGCTCAGGGCTGATCTTCCTCACAAAAAAAAACAAAATAGGAAAAATCATTTGAGATGGGCACACAGCACCAACTTCCCTGACGTAACCAACCAGTGAGACGTTGGAGAGATGACCTGAGGGCCAATTTCAGACACTGACAGAATGTTTTTCCCAAGGGGCATCATGAGGGGTCATCCTTCTAGCTGAAGGACTCCCGTAAGGACAGGCCTTAAGGCTGCTTTTGCTTTCAGTCCTGTGTGGTGAGGCCAACTTGGAGGACCACGCGTCTGCTGGGGGACCTCATGCCAGCTCTGTCCCCGTGTAAAAGCTTTCCCAGGCTGATGATGTCACATCACCCCCTCAGCTTTTACCAGGCTGGACATAAGAAACAGACGCATATAGAAACAGCTTTGCTTCTCTGAAAAGTCGTCATAGAGCACACTGCCACGAAGCTGCTCAGAGTTCCCAGCAGAAAATTGGACGCGGTTAACACTTCCAGAAGTTCAGGCCAGCAAGAGTTTCTCTCCCCTCAACCTCACTGGCTTCTTGTTTTTAATCCAAGGAAAACCATGATGTCTCCCTTTTTGCTTCAGTGGCTGAGGAGACTAATGTTAAGTATGTGCTCAATTAGAGCAGCTTCTCTCAGCCTGGGTTCTTCGCATTTTTATCCCCTGTCACCACACACACACACACACACACACACACACACACACACACACACTCAGTACTCATATTTTCTCTTAGTCTCTTTCTGGAAGCAGATGGGGAAACACACCTGCAGGGCTGAATTGATTCATTCAACAATACTTCTCCCAAGTGCCAGGTTGGGGAGTGCGGAGGGGGGACAAACACTGCCTTCAGTCCATAAATGAATGCAGAGAGAATGCAAGGTGAGCCGCACAAAGTCTCCAATGTCAGGAGTGAGGAGCACTACAGACGTTCAGGGGAGAGAGTTATCACCCTGGCCGGGAGCAATCAGGAAAGGCTTCCTGACAGAGGTGGGATGGGCCCGCGGTGGGAACGAAGTGCTTTTACAGTCAGGCAGGTAGGCCCCTCAGCTCCCGGGTGCTGGTGTGATTCCTGCATTCCTCTTTCACTTAATCAGGGACTGGACATTGATGCCACCCAGCTTCAGGGCCTTCTCAACCAGGAATTCCTGAAAGGTAAGGACATGCTGGCCCAGTGCCACCCTCCCTGGCATTTCTGTCGTTTTTGTTCTCCCCCCTCAGGACCTCCAGGGGACACTTTCTCTTTGGACGAGTGCCAGAGCATCGTGGCTCTGATGGATGTGTCCTGTGCCATCATCCTCCTGCCCCTCCCCCAGCTCTAAAGGCCCATCTGCTCCGTGGGCTTCCCCAAGGGTCGAATTAGGACATTAGAGAACCCTTTTCTGACTCTCAGGATTTCTTTTTCCTTGGTTCCAAGGGATCACCATAGAACCTGGGTTTCTGTGGATCTATACTGACCCACTAACTCTCCAGAACAACCACAGCAAAAATGACGATAGTCACCATCTATCAAGCATCTACTGTGTGCCAAGAACTGTACTGGTATATATATATTTTTTTCTTGTAATTGTTGCAACAACCCTTGTGATAATAAGTATTATCCAATCATACAATTAAAGAAACAGGGTTCGGAGAGGTTAAGTAATTTGCCCAGATCACATAGCTAGTCAGAATTTGTGCCTAGATTTGAAGTGCGAGTTTTTAGACTCCAAAGCCCATGTTCTCACGTTATCCTACACTGCCTCCTGGTAGCACCCATGGGAACTATTTTGCTTCTACTCCTCCCCTTCCCACTGGAGGAGTCTTCACTATTTAAATTCCTTATTCAACAAGCCCCCAATTCAATAAAGACAACAACCACTGAAGCTTGTAGAAAATGCCTCGGTCTACACAGCGGTTGCACCCCATTCTTACTATTATGCTGCATTTGCAGGTGAGGAGACTGGGGTTGGGGCAGTACAGTGACATGGCCAAGTTCCACGGCCATGAGTGGCAGGGCTGGGAATCAAACCCAGGTCTCCTGACTCCCCTCCTGACTTCCACTCTCCCGTGAGCCGTTTCTGCCCCCACCTGCCCCCATCTCCCAGTGGGCAGGCAGGAGAGACTAGCCCCACATGGGCATAACCCCCAGCTGCTGCCTTGTAGCTCTTCACGCGGGTGTGTGCTGTCTCCTGGGAGCAAGACAGAGCCCCTCGGCTCTCTCACTGTTAACAAGACTCAATTGGGACTGCGAATCCAGCCATTGTCGAACAAGAGGGCTTCTTGATGAAATCATAAATCAGGCCTGTCTCTGCCGGCAGTGGTTTGGAATCACTCAGAGACACTGCCCATCCTCGGTAGATGAATCAAGATGGCCCGGGGTGGCCCCACAGCCTAAGGCAGGTGACCTTCGGGGAGGTCATGGCTGCTGGACCCTGCAAAGCAGCAGGTCTTTTCTGCCCTTGCTCCTACTCACACTCCGGTTCCTCGGAGATTGATTCTTTTCCTTTCATCAGTTCTCATTAAACCCATGACATGGAGTGACCAGGGCTGGTTAATCCACGGCACGCATTCCATCCACTAGCCTGCACTCCCCTCTCATGCTGCCTCCGGAGGTGCAGTGACCCCCTCAGGCTTCTCCCCACTCTCCCCGGCTGGCGGCCCCACTCCAACTGTGAAGGCTGGCTTTTGGGCTCTCTCTCTTCCCCTGGATACAAGTGATGTTGGCCCCCCTTTCTCAGCGCTTCCTTCTCCTTCCAATTGTTGATTTTTCCTTGTAAAATAAATCTAAGCCAGGTCCCTTTCAGATACAGTGGGAGCCAGCTGGCGTGGGGCCACATCCCAGTGACGTTGGACCGACTGTTACTAGTTGATGGATGGAGCTGCTCTGCTCACTGGGCTGGTAGAACCTGCAGCCCCTCTGCTCCCTGCACACTGGGCTGGTTAACTCTTAACTCCTCAGCAGCTGAAAGTGAATGGGCAGCTTGACCAAGAGGAGTTTTCAAGGCTGTGGGGGTGTCTTGTCCACTACCAGGTACTGGCATGTTCTCTTTTAACTAGCACCCTTGTTCTGTCCAGTTTAGCAAATATTCACTGGGTGCCCGACCCTGCACCAGGGCCGAGGGGTAGGAAAGAAGAGAAAACTCACCCCGACCCTCAAGGAGAGCTCCCACTTTGTTTGGGGAGATGTACATGCACAGCTAGGAGGCACAAGGCAATGCCCGATCAAGTGGCAGGTTGAGGAGCACTCCAGGAGGTTGGAGGAGAAGGGGGTCACCCTGGACAGTAGCTAAAACTGCCAGCCGGCACTGCCCTCCTCCTTCCTCCACTGACCACTGCTGCGTCCCCCAAGCCACCGGTGCATCGCATTCCCTTCCCATCCACCTGCCAGAAGATGTGGCGAAATCACAGATGTGGTCTATGACCTCCCCATTGTTCTCAGGACAAAGTCTAAACTCATCAGAGCTGTGCCCAAGATCCCCCAAGCTGGAACCCGACTTTGGGGTCCAGGAAAAGCCTTTTCACTCATCCCATTCCTTCAGACCCCAACTACGAGACTCTCGCTATTCCCTTCCTGCACTCTGAGCCTGGCCAGTGCCCACCTACCCTGAGAGTCCCGCCTCAGATGCACCTTCCCTGCAGGGCCTCCCCGGGGGCCCTTGCCTACCCCCAAGGCCTGGTTAGTTCCCCCCTTAGCTCCTAATACTCGAACCCACAACAATAAAATACAGTGTTCCTGTGTGGCTCTACCAGGGTGTGTTACCTAGTCCCTGACTTGGGGTCGTTTGAGTTCTCACAGGGCTCTGCAATGGTTGACATGTCCCCCCCATTAGATTGCAGGGTCTTCCAGGATATCCTCTTCAAGGTGGGCACTGGGACTTACACGGGCTTCTTGCTTCTTTTCATCTGAATATTTTCCAGAACACCCAGGAGAACACTGGAGTTTTCCTGAGCTCAGATTTGTGGAAGGCCATAAAGGATACAGGTAAAGCAGGGGACATTTTGAGCCGTGATGATCGGAGGCGGCAGTGGGGTGTGTGTGGGTGTGGGTGTGGGTGTGTGTATGTAGATGCCCACTCTCCTAGCATGCTATAGACCAGGCTGGTGCAGCAGTGCTGGGCAGTCAAGAGAAGGCAGAGCTGCGGCTTCCCTGTCCTCCTCTGGTTTACACGGGCCTCTGTGAGCCTCCCGGCTCTGGACTCAGACTCCATCCGCCCCCGCTTGAGTTCTCATGTGCGAGTCAATTTTTCCCATTTCCTTTTCTCCCCAGCACAGTTCTAATTGTGAGAAAATAATCCCTCGTGATTGATACCTTAACACAAATCACACTTGCCTTGCAGACACTTCCATCTCAGCATCTGGGCCATCAGTGTTAAATACCCATGGGTGGGCTGATGCGCTCTCTTCACAGTGGGTTTGGGGCTAAGTGAAATCAAATGGCATCTGTCAGCTTCGAGCAGGCAAGAGCTTTCAGTCCTGGGATAATTATAATAATCCCATAGCACGCAGAGGTGCTTCCTAGTTGAGCAAGAACTTGTTCTCACATCATCTCACTTGATTGTTTTGACTCCTCTGCAAACTGGGAAGGGCAGGAATCATTATCTCCACTGTCCCAATGGGGAGAAATGGATCACAAAGGTTAAGTCAGGAAATTGCCACCTCCCTTCTTAATAAAATCTAAAATCAGATTCACCCAGGTTACTCCTGGAAGGAGTTTCCGTAATTCTCCCTCCCGTGGCTCCTGGCTTGGAAAGCGGGTAGAAACGTGGCCTGCTGCTCCCTGCTTTAGCATATTTCCTCCCCTTCAATCTTCATAGCAGAGGGCTGTGGTTCTCAAACTTGAGCTTGCATCGGAACCCCCTGGAGGCCTGTTAAATCACAGACTGATGAGCCTCCCCATCACCCAAAGTCTCTGATCCAGGAGGACTGGGGTGGGGCTCAAGAATTCGCATTTCTAACAAGTTCCCAGGTGAGACGCATGCTCCTGGTCTGAGGACCACACTGAGAACCACTGAATAGCCAGTGAATGATGAAATCTTTAAATGAGACCTCACTAATGACTCCAGAATAGTAAAAAGGAGAAAGATAGAGAATAGTTGGAATTCAACTCAAAGGCTTCAGGGACCAGGCAGGTAACTGAAAGGGGCAATGGAGCTAACCCAAGAGGAGAGGGTGATTTGGGAATGCAGCAGGCTGGAGAGTCATGCCCTAACTAAAGGTGTTCAATTCACATGCTGTTAACTCTACTAGAGAAAGCAAACAGGCCCCTGGCTGCTAGATGAGTGGTTTGGCTTGGAAGGTTCTGCTGAACCCCCAGAGCTCACGGGCCTGACTCTGCCAGCCTGCCATTGTCTGCTATGTGATGGGTGCCTCCCTTGAGTTCATGACTAGACGTGCAAGATGACAAAGCCTGAAGAGGGCAAGCCACCTCTGTCCTGCCCACCGGAGGCCACCTACTGAGTTGTGGTCTCCCCTCTGAAGACCAGCCTCTTCCCTGGATGACCGACTTAGGACTGAATTCCCCTCTTCCGGGAACCACACTTGCCCACACTGGCAGCATCCACCTGTAAGACCCACAGAAAGTCATGGGGTGGGGGACAAAGGTTGTTTTACAAGGTCATCAGCAGAGAGAGGCCTCAGATAGGCAGGGCTAGGAGCTCCCCCCCCACAGGAGAGTTATCAGATGATGATGAAGGCTGAGGTGTCCCCAGAACAGTGTCTTGAGTATCTTAAGTTGGTCTCTGGCCAAACTCTAGAACAGTGTTTTTGGGGCCCAGCAGCCAGCAAGATAGAGGCAGCTGGAGAATCAACACCACTGCAGAGGAGTGGACTGGCCCCTATGCCAGGCTGAGGAGGAAATGGGGTTGGGAGGCCCCTAGGCCCTCTGAACAGGTTTCTCAGACCTTGGAAGGCAGAAGCGCACCCCACCCCAGGCTCCTCCCTGCTCACTGGCTCACCCTGTGGCCCAGACTTCCTTGCGGGGATCTCCATCAGCAACGAGCTGCTGGTCCTCATGACTCTCCGGTATAGCCATAGCTCCAGCACAGTCAGCTTTCCCAGCCTGGTCTGCTTCCTGATGCGGCTTGAAGTCACGGCAAGTAAGTGTCACCTGAGGGACATCCTGAGACCTTCCCAGTGACCAAAGAACGCAGAAGAGGACCAGGAATGCACTCTTGCCCCAGGCCTAGGCAAGAGTACTGGGCTGGGCGGGCGTCCTGTGCGAGGAACCCTTGCCCCAGGAGGCAGGGCCAACGTTAGCCCGTGTAATGGTGTAGTCGGCATGTGTCCCCAGCATCCCTGCTGCACCCTTCTCTCCCCGGGACATTCCCCTATCCAGCTCTCCCATTTCCTCTTCACTGTTCAGTGCCTCTTTCAGGAACAGGGTTAAACCACTGTGTCCCTCTCCGGATTGTGTTTATGGTTTAAACCTATTCTTCAGTCAGGCGGTGAATGACTTGGGTCTCTCCTGAAGGAATTGCACACCCAAGCAAAGAGGCGGGGTCGGGAGGTCTTTCCCAAGGCTTCAGAAATCCAACTATGTAGGCCAGAGGTTTTGACACTTTCTAGCAGCATACTCCTTCGTTTTAAATGAAATCTTACGTGAAACCCCAAGCCATAACATGGCTCAAGATGGAACCATCGTGGTGGAGGCGGAAGCAGGGTCTGGCCTCGACTCTAATCCTTTCTCCGTCCCTGGCATGAGGCCCCTCTGTAAACCCGACAGCTCTGAGCTAGGCAGTTAATAAAGGTTGAAAGAACAGAGCCCTGGGAGGGTAAAAGAGAAGCCTGAGGCATAAACCCTGTTCCAGAAAGTTCTCAGTGGGAGGAGGGAGGTTCCTCAAACTGCACCCCGGAAATACTTTGTAAGACAAAAGCACCCAGCCCCTGGCCAAGTGTGGAGGGCCTCAAAGTGGCAGGGAATCGGGAGAGGGAGAGGGCAGTGAGGGCCAGAGCCGTCACAGAGAGCTCTTCTGAGGAGGCCAGCCCTGAGCTGTCCGGGTGTAGTGTTTGTCTGGAAAGAGACGAGGAGGGGAGGGGGGCACACTCTGCGGAGGGTGAGACAGCGCTTTACACAGCATCACCGCATTTGCTTTGATCTTCACAAGGGCCCAGGCCTGCCTGCCCTGGCCTGTCCTGATTCTTCTCCTCCTCTGTACCCTAGAGACTTTCTGGAACCTCTCCAAGGATGGAGAATGACGCTACCTGACAAAAACGGAGGTAAGGACCCTTCCCCTCCTAGACACAGGGCCCAGCCCCAGGCCGCCTCCCTCACCCGATTCCAGGGGGCATTTTTCTCCCTGAGGATATTGAACAGGCTGTCAAGGGCCAGCCAGGCTGCTGGCCCCCTGCCTCCAATTACTGCCTTTATATATTGCTCTCTGCCAAGGCTGACTTGGGATCTTGGCAGACAGATTTTATTTTTTTCCAATAGCTTAATAAAGCGGAGGATTATGTGGGAGTCATAAATCCAAGAGAGGACTGAAGAACACCCGCTGAGCTCACTGTACAGTAAACTTACTCCCATGGAGTTTTAGAGCGAGCCTCCCGCCCTAGCCAGCTGGTCGACCTCAGCTGCTCCTCTCACTGCCTGGCTATTCAGGGAGTAGCAGAAGATGTGCTGTGAAGGGAGCTTAGAGCGCCCCCTGAGTTCGAATTAGCTAGAAAGGATTGAGGAGACTACACTGACATCTTTCAAGGGAGGAGGGTACCATTCGCCTTGCTCTGTATTAAGCTAACAAATTTCAAGATGGGTTGTAATGATGATGCTTATTTCTCAGTGGATGAACCTGGTGATTTACAACTGAACCAAGGGGTAGAGCAGACTCTAGGATCCAGGAAAGATATGACAGCTTTAGAATCATTTCCTTATCAGGGCACAATTTCCCTTCTCCTCCAAGAACTGCACACAAGACTCCCTCCCTGGGAGAAACCTCCCCAGAGATTACAGAGCCCTTATCTGTGTGAGTCAAGGTTCAGCTGCTCAGGGGCCCTGAGTTTCAAGGCCAATGCTGCAGATTTCATCCAGGCTATGTAGACCAGTGGGCATTCATAAAAGAGTTTGGCCTGAAAGTCATGAGTGAGGGATTTAGAATTATTTTTTATAATTTATTTTTTATTGAGATATAATTGACATTTAACATTGTATTAGTTTTAGTTGTACAACATCATGATTTAATATGTGTATATATTGCAAAATGATTACCACAATATGTTTAGTTAACATTCATCAACACAGAGTTACAAATCTTTTTTTTCTTGTGATGAGAACTTTTATGATTTACTCTCTTAACAACTTTCAAATATACTGTACAATATTACTAACTATAGTCACCATGCTGTACATTACATCCCCAGGACTGATTTATCTTATAACTAGAAGTCTGTACCTTCACCCCTGGCCTCTGGCAACCACAATCTGTTCTCTGTACTTATGAGTTCCGTTTTGTTTTGTTTTGTTTTTTAGATTCTACATATAAGTGAAATCATACAGTATTTATCTCTCTGACTTATTTCACTTAGCATAATGCCCTCAAGGCCCATCCACATTGTCACAAATAGCATGATATCCTTCTTTTTTATGGATGAATAATATTCCATTGTATTATATATACCATATCTTCTTTATCCATTCATCCGTTGATGGACACTTAGGTTGTTTCCTCATCTTGGCTATTGTAAATAATGCTGCAATGAACATCAGGGTGCATATATATTTTCAAGTTAGTGTTTTTGTTTCCTTTGGATAAATACCCAGAGGTAGAATTGCTGGATCAGATGGTGGTTCTACTTTTAATTTTTTGAGGAACCTCCATACTGTTTTCCATAGTGGCTGTACCAATTTACATTCCCATCAACAAGGCACAAGGGTTCCCTTTTCTCCACATCCTCACCAACCCTTGTTATTACTTGTCTTTTTGATGACAGCCATTCTAACAGGTATGAGATGACATCTCATTGTGCTTTCAATTTGCATTTCCGTGATGTTTACTGATGTTGATCACCTTGTACCCATTGGCCATCTAATGTCATCTTTGGAAAAATGTCTGTTCAGATCCTCTGCCCATTTTTTAATCGGATTTTTTTTTCTGTTGAGTTGTATGAGTTCTTTATGTATTTTGGATATTAACCCCTTGTCAGATATATGATTTGCAAATATTTTCTCGCATTTGGTAGATTGCCTTTTCATTCTGTTGATGGTTTCCTTTGCCTGTGCAGAAGCTTTTTTTTTATTTTGATGTAGTCCCACTTGTTTATTTTTGTTTTTGTTGCCTTTGCTTTTGATGTCAAATCCAAAAAATCATTGCCAAGACCAATATCAAGGAGCTTACCCCCATGTTTTCTTCTAGGAGTTTTGTGGTTTCACATCTTACGTTCGAGTCTTTAATACATTTTGAGTGGATTTTTGTGTATGGTGTAAAACAGTGGTCCAGTTTCATTCTAGAATTCTTAATCAAAGTTGCAAGGAGGAAAGGCAGTCACTCATCACAGGAAAGGCTAATGTGTGGAGTAATAGAAATGAGCAGACCTTGGGGAGAAGAGAGTTGGGTCCAGCCCCAGATCTACCATTGCCTCACTATGCAGCTTCAGACAGATCACAATCATTTCTAGGCATCAGGGTCTACACCTCTAGCATGAATGAGCTGAAGAATTAACGCCCATTCACTATTCTTCTACATGTTTATTTTCAGGGAACAGACCCTAGAATTACATAGTCCACACCCCACCCTACTGTAGCAGAAGTCCCGACAGAATCAGCTAGACTCTTCCAGGACTGGGGAGCTCAATATTTTGTACTCCCTGTTGTTGGACATCTCCAGGTGTGAGGTATTCTTTATCTAGAGGCAACAATCTACTTCCCTGGAACTTTCTACTCATGCTTCTAGATCTACTCTCTGGACCACTGTAGGAAAAAGACTGGACATGCCAGACCTTCCAATACTTGAGGATAGTTTGCTGCCTAGCCCAAAGCCTCTCTTCTTTAGTTATCCCTATTGGTTCTCATCCAGGACCTATTGGTGACCATTATCTATATGCCAATATCCCTTTGAAATATACAGTTCCCTTATGCAGCAGTCCTGGGTTCAACACATTCTGGAATCCTATTATTTTTGTAAACAGCATTTATTTAATCTCCCAATCATGTATGTTTGAATCAAGAGGCAGACATTGTCTCCATAAAGAAATAATATTGTAGCATAAATATTTCCCAATAAACACTTGGTGTTTCCTAATGAACACAAGTTAACAAACATGGCAGAGATCAAATTTAATTAGATTCAACTATATTTTCTTGAATTCCCCTTTCCCTCCTTTTTAAAAATAGGACATTTGATCATTTCCAATTTCCCATCTGCCTGATTCCTATCCAATCTGCATGGTTTCTAATATCAGGAATGATTTTTCAATTGTATCTTTAAGCTAATTCAGCACACAGGACCTAAAGCTTGAACTTTTGAAATATCTGGGTTATCTCTCATTATCCTTTCTCCTATATAGGGTCCCAATTCCCTCTTAATTAATTTTTCCACACTTCCTGTTCTGCAGATTATGTAAGAAGGAAGGATAATATAAGATGCGTGGGTATGTGTGTTTCAGTCTCTTTCATTAATGCCTATCGTCATCCCTAAGAATGCTCCCTTGCCTTCCTTATCAATCACCGCCTTCTGACATCACATTATTAAAGCATATCCACTCACTCTTGGCTCGTAAGTTGCTTTGCAGAATTGGAGGCAGGAGGATGAAGAAGTTCTGCCTCCAAATCTACAAACCCATTTTCCTCTGTAACTATCTCCCACCTTCATCTTGTTATGCCAGAGACCATATCCCTCTGAGGATGTTCTGGATCTCATTACCTTCCTCCTTCGCAAGGGCCTGATTGAGTGAATTCTCTCCTCTATCTTCTAAATACTAAACTTCTCCCTATCTCTCTTCTGGAGTCTTCCAATTCCCATTTAAACATGCTTATCTTTTCAATTTCCTCCATATCACATTTTCTTCTAGCTACAACACTCTCTCTCTCCTCCCTTTACAGCCAAACTTCGTACAAAAGCTAATTGGCTCCACGTTCTCACCTCCCACTTTCCCCTCAAACTGCTTCAATTTGGATTTCTCAGACATCATCTCTCTCCCTGACTTTTGCATTGGCTCCCTATCTGATTTTCCTATATCCACCCCGTCCCTCATATCAATTTCCTGCAGTCTAAGTACACTTTTAAAAATTCAAATCCAATCATTGCACTCCCTAGGTTAAAACCCTTCAATGTCTTCCCATTGATATTCAGGAAAAGTCTAAAGTCTTGAACTCGTGAACGTGGCCTGTACTATCCGACCCCCGCCCACCTAGCTAACCATACCTTCCTGCACCTTACTCCCACCAGCATGACATTCATTTCCATCAACAGTCCATGCTTCTCCCAACCTCAGGTCCTTTGCCCTCACTGCCTGCTCAGCCCTGGGGTTAGTTACCTAACTCCTGATCCTTCATGTCTTAGTCCCACTGGGTTCCCATATTATTTACTCGCATATCACTCTTCCCCAATCATAACATTCAAAACGCTTTGTTGTTGTTGTCCACTCCTTCCTTATTCTTTTTTAGAGCCTTATTGAGATATAATTCACACACCATACAGTTTACCCATTTAAGACATAGAGTTCAATGGTTTTCAGTGTAGTCATAGAACCATGCAACCATCACCACCATATAATTTTAGAACATTTTTCATCACCACAAAAAGAAACACCATGCCCGTTAGCAGTCACTCACCATATATGCCCCATCCCTCCAGTTCTAGGCAACCACTAACCTACTTTCTGAATCTATAGATTTGCCTATTCTGGACATTTTATATCATTGGAATCATGCAATATGTGGTCTTGCAACTGACTTCTTTCACTTAGCTTAACATTTTCAAGGTTCACCCATGTGGTAGCATATACCAAGACTTGATTCTTTTTTAGTTACAAATGTTATTTCATTTTGTAGATATACCATATTTTATTCATCCATTCATCAGTTGATGGACATTTAGGTTGTTTTTCACCTTTTGGCTACTGTGGATAATCCTGCTATGAATGTTTGTGTACAAGTTTTGGTGTGGACATATGTTTTCATTTCTCTTGGGTGCATACCTAGGAGTGAAATTGCTGGGTCAGATGATAACTCTATGTGTAATATTTTGAGGAACTGCCAAACTATTTTCCAAAGCAGCTGCACCATTTTACATCTCCACTAGGAGTGAATGAGAGTTCCAATTTCTCCACATCCTCATCAACACTTGGTGTTGTCTGTCTTTTTCATTTAGCCATCCTAGAAGGTGTGAAGTGATATCTCACTGTGGTTTTGATTTGCAGTTCCCTGATGGCTTATGATGTTGAGTATCTCTTCAGTGTCTATTGGCCATTTGTATGTGTTCTTTGGAGAAATGTCTATTCAAATCCTTTGTCCATTTTTAAATTGGGTTATTTATCTTTTTGTTACTGAGTTGTAAGAGTTTTATATATATATATATTCTAGTTACAAGTCCTTTATCATACATGTGATTGGCAAAAATTTTCTCCCATTCTGCAGGTTGTCTTTTAAGTTTCTTGATGATATCATTTACAGAACATGAGTTTTTAATTTTGATGAAGTCTAACTTATCTATTTTTTCTTTTGTCACTTACACTTTGGGTGTCGTATCCAAGAAATCACTGCCTAATCCAAGTCATGAATATTTACTGTCATGTTTTTCTCCTAAAGGTTTATAGTGCAGATCTTACATTTAGGTTTTTGATCTATTTTTAGGTAATTTTTATATAAGGTGTG